GTTTTCATATGCTTTTCTTATGATGTTTCAAAGGACTTATACGTCCAAAAATTCGGACTCACGCATGCGCTCTACAGTCTCAACGATGTTAAGTGACTTATGCCGAACGACCCTGAATATTTCAGTACCCGGTTGTCCTATGAAGCGATTGAGTTAAGTAAATGTATTCGTAAAGAAGATCATCATATGCAAACCTTGAAATATGGTCATTACGAATTATACGCAACTAGTAATTTTGAAATGACCAGTTAAATATAACGTACTGTAACATATGCGTTTGCTACCAATCTCTGGCGCAAAACATTTTTGGCTATTTTACATTCCGTTAGACTAGCCATAGTAAAAAAAACAAGGAGAGGGAGGAGATTATGAGAATTGTAACCCCAAGTGCCACGTAGGACTAAACATACTGTTGCCCCGAGCAATGCTTTTGTCTAAGATCGTTGACGAAGTAGATAAACATAGTCTAAATCCTGTGTGGTTCTGAAGAAATAAATGGATTTCCAGATTTCTTTATCAGTGAATTATTTTAGGTGATTAAGTGACTTTCCTGCGTTTGCAAGCAGCTATCTGCACAACAGTCAAGCGTTTGGCTAAATTTAAGATGGTCTCGAACTCGGTTTTAACAACGGCGAAAGTTTTTCTAAATAACTGGCCTATTGTTGGTTTAAGTATATCTCAATATAATGTACATTTACATGGCATGCAATACGTTACTTACAGCTGTACAATACTTTTATCACTACGCCTACCTTTCATTATTTATTGCAAAAAGTGAAAAATTGTTGCTTTAAACGATCTTGATTTAGAGGGACTTAAACCAGTAGCATCACACACATCTGATTAGGAATTATTTTTGCTATGATGATAAACATAAAAAATTTCTTTATATTTCCTTTTATTTAGTACCCTCTAGCTAACTAGGGACGCTTTTATCATCTTAATAAGATACATGAAACAATTACTCAGTTCTAATTGTTTAAGGTGAATGTATTTTTCAGGTAATTCAGTGCAGAAGAGGGTTAATTCGGTGCAAAGAAGTAACAAACCAGGTTGAATAATTCCTTGAGCTGTTTAGCCGGACTATGAACTTTTTTGCGCTTTTAAGATGTAAAAATATAATTGTAGATTATTGTTTTGATCGTACGCTGTTGTTTTGACCGCACGCACAAATGTCACTTGCAGGGTTTGAATAAATTATTTTTTCACTTGATGCGCGGGCTTTGCTTCTGCATAATTATGATAAGCTATCTCTTATTTTATCATGTATATCATTGATACGTAATCTCATAATTTTTCTCGTACAACTTAGAATAATTAAGCATTCGTAATCATTTTCAAAGACCACAAATTGCACTCGCCCTACGGGCTCGTGCAATTTTTCTAGTCTTAAAAAAAAAATTTTAATTTAAATCATACCTAAGTGAATCACATGTAAAATGTTATGAATCTCAAATATGTAGCAGCATAGAAGTAGAGGAGAAGTTCAACTAATGCCAACCTTTTTTTTCCGCGAATGTCTGACTGTTTTCGAACCAAACGGTCTTATGTTGTCAAAATAACGTCCCCTTCATGTTAAACTGCTCATTCAGGTAGAGATAAAAATACTAAAACAGCTGTTCATTCAACGTGTATAATGAAGAAAAGTGAATGTGAAAGTAACTCCATGCGAATTTCTGCGTATTTAAGGAGAAGCATTAACCGCTCAGATGTTAAAATGGAAAATAACTAAATATCCATTCATCTTATCTGTAATATAAAACAATGAAACATTTAAAATATCCTTTGACAAGGGAAACGCTTTAACATTTCATTGAAGTTAACGTCCTTGTCGATTTAAAATTATACGTTACCGTACCTGTAACTTTTCTCTTATAGCGAAAATATTCCACAGAAAGGAATTAAACTGATACGCAATCAGCAAAACTACTCCTCCAGCGTATTTTGTTTGGTTTGTGCTCACCAGTTTCGTGGAACTGAAAAACAACTTTACTTGTAATGAATATCCTTGGAGGAACATTTCATGGAAAAGTTTAGCGTGGTATTCTTGCGACCGCACTTTTCTTTACCAGCCTACATTAAAGATGAAACTAGCTTGTGGTGTTTAAAAGATGAGCTGACCAGCTTCGTAGAACTTAAAAACGACTGTGCACGTAATGGAAATCCTTGGAAAAACTTTAACTGGAAGATTTTGGCATGGCATTCGACCTAACTATTCCCTTAGCGGCCTACCTCAAGTGTGAAATTAGCTTGTGGTGTTAATCAGATATGCTGTGCCTCCTTTCAGGACGATCTGAAGCGAAAGTCCAAATCAATGCGAGTACTTAACAACTGCTGACTTTCCCTTCCCTTAACCGATCTGACTGTCGTTGAGTTAGGGGAGGGGTAAGTGGGCACTTGCTCAGGTACTGAGATTGGTCTGTAAGTCCTCAGCCTAACCCTGCTTCCTACGTCTTAATAGATATCGTCTAACTAGCTATGCCTTTTAACTTATGTGGCTATTCATGAAAAGCAAATCTTGTTATACAGAGAAGGTGTGCCTGTTCAGATAAGTTTTGAATTCGCAGAAGACTTCTGAGTAAGGCAGACAGGAACTTGTGATCTCAGACAAGAAGATCTCATAATTGATTCCCCTTTCAAATCATCCCAACACTCTTGATAATACAGTACTCCTCTCTGTATGTAATAGACAGACGAAAGGTGACAACCTACCTTCAAATGCTCTTTGGTATCGGAGACTTTGACATATTGTAAGATGTTGCAAAAGTTATGAATCTACAGAGGGAGAAAAACTGAGAATTTCAAAATGTTTGTCCCTTTTCAAAAGGGGTGTATTTGCTATCTGCCTACTGTTAAGAAGATATCAAGTCAGAACACCTATCGAGCAGTTTACCAAGGCATCATTGATAAAGGTGTTTACATGGAGTGAAGAAATAGGCTGAAGAACTTGGCCTTCAAGCTTGCGAATCTGTGGCAACCACATTGTGCTAGACTGGCTTTCTTTTGTAATGATCTTACCCTGAGGTAATAATAATAATTATTATTTTAATAATGATAATGATAATGAAAGTGATAATTTATAAAAAATTGATAAAAAAACTGTACGAGTACAACTTGGCAGGTGAATTGCTTGAAAAGAGCAGTTTTTTTAACCAATCACAATCGAGGTAATTTTTTTAATATTTAAGATTAGAGAGAAAAAAAACGTACTTTCATCGTGAAATTTTACTTCATCGGATTATTGTGGCTCAGCTTTCTTTCAGCTGTTGGTTGTTTAATTCATTTACAATAACACAAATAGCTCACAATTTCTATTGCTTCCTAAATGCCTTCTCTTTCGACTGCATAACCAAAGAATAAACATACTGAAGAGTAGCAACGCCAATATCCTTCCCTGATACTGATTTTTTAAGCACCATGATAGCAACAATCACACTGCTTCGAACTATCTTTTTACACTTGCCGCAACTGGCAATGATATCCATTGAAATCTTGCAATATCAGAATACTGCAATTGCATTTAGAAACTTTGATGCTATCCCTGGTTCACTTGAAGCAAATGAGAACGATTTTTAGGTACAACAGCCATATCATCAAGCTTTCACTCCTTTACATTGTGTTGACTATATTTATTTAGTTTACATATATTCAATTCAGCGTATACCGTAAGATACTAAAAAAATAAGTGTGCTGCGGCTGCCATGTTACTCTAGGGAAGTCGATGAAACAGATATCATTCCTTTTTTTTTACCTGTGCCTGTTAGTTACTACCAGCTAAGCCAAGAGCTTGACATGCGAGAATCGAAGCTATTTTTAGTGGGTTGATCATTCCCTGAAATGCTTGGGTTCTTCTCAACAGTGATTCAAGACCTCATTATAATATCACAGTTTGGCTCAATTGCCACTAAATGCAACATGCAAAAATGCAGCAAAAATGTTTCCAAGCAATTTCCAAAGACACATGCAAAAAGCGTTTAGTTACGTGAAGAGTAAATAATCAAAAAGTGAAAGTCATGTAAAATTGACAGATACAAAGAAAAAAGGTCTTACGTTCAATAACTAACAAATAAACAAAATGTCGGCTTAGACCAGCTTCTAAGGGATAGCTTGATGATTCATCTCAAAACGACCGATTTTTCACCTTTATCCACTTTAGTTTTTTTCTTACTTATGAGCCCAACCTGGGTGCCCCACAGTTAGCTTTCAATTCTCAGTTACAACGGTATTATCATCTGAACCAGAAGTCTCATTTAGAATAAAATGTAAATTTTTGTGAAAATGAAATCAACTTGAACTGGAGGTCTCAGCATGACCTTAACTTTAAGATAGTAACCAAAATTAATGGGATTTACCACGCCACAAAGATTATTAAAATTTTTGAAATGTTTTGCCTTTAGTAAATCACTTCACCCGGAGGTTTGTTAAGGCCTCATATGATGCGAAATCAATAAGGCGCCCAAGCACATTGCCTTCTTAAAATTTTCATGAATTATCTCCCGTGGAAGATAGCATTATTTAATGGTGCTTCTGAAATGCAATTTGTCCTTTGCGAAATGAACGTCTTGTTGTGAGGAGATGTGGTGGACGTTTGAAAGAAGATAGCTCTGAATGGTTGATTGGTGCTCCGTAATTAGTACTTAAAGAAAAGTTGCAGAATAAATAGCTGGTTTAATTGACAGAAGAAATGGATCATACTGCTCATTCCGAGTGAATCAAGACACAGAACCTTTGAATCACTATTGACTCACTGCTTTAATGTAAACATGAGTAATGTAGATTTGCAGCTGTTGGATTTGAAAAAAAAAATAAGTTAAACAAACTGCTACATGAAACTAAAATTGTCGTGTTTTTGTGAGAGAAAGGGAGAAAAAGGAAAGCATTCTTAGATGTCCAAGCTTTTTTGAGAATAGTCATCTAGCTTACATTTCTTTTAGTATAAAGTCAACTAGTTCGTCGACTTTATTGAAAAATAGGCTCATCGTTTTCTGTCGTCTCGAACAATGCTGCATGTAAATAACTCTCACCTTCAAGATGTACCTTCCGAACAATCACAAGAAAACGAAACTGCATTGAGCGAGTCTAGAAATGCGTCCGGAGATCACCATCCTCGCCGTAAAGAAATAGCTTCAAGGCTTCGACCCATTATATATTTGATGAAATTAACCGGAGAGTGCTCTCAGGATGTTTTGGTGCTAAACGAGGTACCTGCAACTAGTTCGCGCCTCTTTTCTCGTCTGTACCGCGGAATTGTAACTCTTGGTCAGTGGGGTGTCGTGGTGCAGTGCGTTACAACTGTTTTCTTTGAAGGTTTTGCAGATTTGAAGAGATTTTATTTTGTGTTGATCTTCTCCATCTGGGCTCTACAATGTGCAGTAGTTGCAACAATATGTCTATACGTTTTCCCAAACAGGCAAGCAGAGTCATCCCGTTTTTCGCAATTCTTAAGCAGCTTGTGCAGTGCAGAAAGTAATGAAAGAAGGTCAAAGAAATGTAAGGTGAACTTGATATTGGCTTCCGTCACTTTCTTTGCTATTTTCAACACCCTCTTCGTTATTTCTTTAGACCTCATGTATGGCTCGATAATCTCTTTTCGTCCTTGGAACGGATTTCTGGTTTATCGCTTGAACTTCTTTGCGTTTATCTTCTGCAGTTGCTTTTCATGGGCACTGCCATTTTCGTTGTTTTACGTATCTTGCGATCTGCTGCTTGGAATTTTTGAGGATTTGGAGACCAAAGTAAAAGCAGGCGATCCTGATGCCTCCGATATCAGATGGATTCGGCAGGAACATCGAAAACTTTGTGTGCGGGTTGATCTCGCAAATAAAGTTTTTTCTCATCTTCTTTTGGCGGCAGTGGGCTTAGATGTTCCTTTGATGTGTTTCAACTATCACCAGCTGGTGAAATCGAACGCATCTACGAGTTCAGACTTTACGTATCTTGTCTCACTTTTGTACTGGTCTGTTTGTGTGGTTGTTAAGTTAGCTTTTATCCTTTTGGCGGGAGTTAGAGTCAACGAAAAGGTAAGATTTTTCCTGTTGCATCGTTGGTTTTCAACACTTTTTTTTTTATCCTTATCAAGTAAACTAAGCAGGGCTCCAACCTTAAAACAGCTTTGCGACAGAGTTTTTTGTCCGTGTCAAGATTTCGACATCTGTCCGGTGGCAATTTCTAATGTGCTCAGTTTGTTTACAAAAGAGCCTATTAAAATGCTTCATCTAGGCTGAATCTGTATCGCAAGGGATTTCATGGCAAAATTTCGTAGATTTCTGCCTCCTTGATAAAAAAATAAAAATAAAAATAAAAATAAAAAAAAAATATATATATATATATACATATGTCTAGGTTAAACAACTTTACAAACGATTCCTAGAAATTTAACATTGCTTCATGTAAAAACAGTCAATCTAGACGACACAGCATGTCTTAAAATTAATTGATTCTAGCTTAAATCTATACGAGAAATGTTCCTTTTGTAAAAATCCTAGCAGGAAACGTCGAAGGAGTGAACTAATCTATCATATTTACATGCAAATTATTCTTTTTTGTGCGTTTCTGTCAAATGTTAAACGTATCTGTAACTTTGGAAGAGTAGTTTCAACTTTGAACCTGTAGTTTATAATGAAAATTACAGGCCACCATAGAGAGGATTGTGAAGAAGGTAAACTAAGGAAACAAGAATTTATTTAAGGCCTAATTTCAACACTGTCGAAAAAGTATCATAATTACCTACCTTCATCCTTTCTTCTTCCCTTCAGATTCACAGCTTTTATGACATCTTACAAAGTTTCACTGTTCCTGACAACAAGGGTCACTTAGAGGTAAGAAGTTCTTAGTGTTTTGGAGAAATTTGATGTTTAGGAGAGCCATTTGAGTCACCAAACCGATAGAGGCCAACTAAGTTGTGAACAAAAAAAAACCGATAGCTGACAAACTCGTGTAGACGTGCGCTGTAAAATTGGTAGAATCCTTGCTACCCTTCGCAAATGAACACTGCGAAATATTTAAATTTAGCCCGTTTACTTTGGCTTGAAGGGCTGTGATCACGTTCTCCAGATTTTATTGCAAAATCTGAGAGGTATTTTCTTCTTGATTCATTGGTATTTTATTTATCTTTTTTTTTTTTTTTTTACCATTTATTATTTTTAGCTTTTACATTTCATGATGCATCTTCGGGGAGAGCCCATTGGATTGTCCATTGGTGGATTTGTGGTGATCGACAAGTCCCTGGTTATCTCGGTATTTCTCTTGGTTTCTCTTCACGGTTATGCCATCGATTTTACCTCGGTTGTTGTTATTTCTTTGCTTTTGATTTTATTTTTATCCATCTAATTACTTGAAATCTAACCCAAAGTCACCTTCTCTCATCTCCTTGCAGCTCGTAGGAATAATCATCTCCTACTTCGCTGTATTGATAACATTGCCAAGTTGAAGAAGAGGAAGGACATGACCAGACATGAAGCGGATGCATTTTCTGCTCTTACTGTTTCTTTTGCTTTAGTTTTCATATCATTCATGGAATTCTAAAGAGTTTTGAGTCAACACTTATGAATTATCAAAGGAACATTTAATCAAGCTATACCAGTGATGTCTTTACCAGTAGTTCCCATACCTTGAAGTAATTAAAGAGCCTAGTCGTATATATACCCTTGCTGCATAGCTCAAGTTATTTATTGGTGAAAACTTCCTTGTAATAGTTAAATGACTTATGTCGGAAACTTTGTTGATTCTGCTGTAAGCAGATGATGGAGATGTATGCTATCGCTCTAATCTATCACCCTTTAAGGAGAATAACAGTTTTGGTGTATGCAAATGTACGCTTGTTCCGTATATAATTCAATTTTTTTAACCTCCAACAATGGAATCCCTAGTAAACCTTAATTATTATGTCACAGATAGATCCTCAAATGCCAACTGTAAATAAAGAAACTGTAGATAGCTTTTTCTAAGCCTTACATTATAAGACTCCTCTTATTCCAGGATATTTATATAGTCGTTTCCATTTATAATCTGCAGTTAAACTGACTTATTTCATACTTGCCGATAAGTGAAGACATGTATATAACTACTTTCTCTATAACTATGGTAAGAAAAATCATCTTTTTAGAGCTAAGAAAAATGTAAACTACGTGAAAATGCAAATTCTTTTTCCTTTTAGTCCCAATTTGTTTTATCGTAATATTGATGAAAGCCAAGCTAATTTATTCAATGCTGTTGGTGAGTCGTGGAGAGTTTTAAAAGTCACAGATCATATCATTATGAGCAACTATTACGAGCAACAGTTACAAAAGTTAAAAGCTTAAACTTTCAACTCTTTGAAAAAGAATAAAAGAAAGTTTTATCGCATAACCCTTTTAGCGAATAACGCACTTTTATTGAAATTTTTTCTATCCAAATACCTGGCTGAGAGCCGCACGCGATGGAAGTGAAAAAGGCCCGAAGGAGCTGCATGGTCCCTGAGATGCGGGCTGAAATAGCTCTTTAATGGAAACTTTTATATTTTAAAATGCTTATTGACTGAGTTAGGTTGTCAATGCTCGTGCTTTTCGACACAATGGTGGCGGAATCGCTGAAATTGATATCCTTGTACCTTTGTTTACTATTTTACCCTTCGCCATCTTAGTTGATGTTTATGGGGCGTACACTATTTCTTTTCTTAATGTGAAGGCACTCTTGTAACGATCGTCGAAATTTTGGCACCCGCCAAGCATACATAAAAGGGTTCGCAAACGAAGATAAGTAAAGGAAAGTATGACTTATTAAGTCAAACCTTCGGAAAGCCATAGTATCCTGACAACTACAGAAATTTAACAGCTGAATCTTAATATAAAAGGGCAAAAAAGAAGCACAGAACAACTTCAAAATGACAAACGAAGTCAGCGCCATTTTCCGCTCTCTCTCAAGGGCATGCCGTAGAGTTATTGTGGAGAGCGATGTTGTTAAACGTTGAAGTTCGTATCTTCTTGCGGAGAGTGAGCAAAAAATTCGACAATAAACAAACAGCAAGACAAACACGGGAATTGTGAAATGTGTGTGGGAGAACACCAATAAAATGACTGCCCAGATTTGTCCTGCCAAAGGATAGAACGCAGTCAACGTCGTGGCCATTACCCAGCTAACAAAGATGTATGTGTGGACTTTTCGTCCTGTTATTCGCTCGTTGTAATGGAAAGGATCGGTAACTGCTATGTAACGGTCAAGCGCCATCGCAATAACTGTCCATATGCCGTTGATAATGGATGCCCCTCCTGCGACGTTTATAGCTAAGTTAATCCAAGAAGGTTGGGTCTCGTCTTTATACATGAAACATCCAACCAAGCCACGGCCATAACCAATAATAAGTCCGACAAATAAGTCACTTAGAGATAAGTTTGCGATTAAATAGGTGGCGGGTGTTCGAAGACATCTCACAGGATCTAATTTAATGGTGGTGAGAAGAAGAAGATTTCCAAGAACGGTAAGAGTCGCTAAAATGAAGTCGCCAATTGTCAAAGCAAGGAGGTAAGAGTTATACTCAAAATTAACCATTGCTGTTTTCAGAATACTCTGACTTCTTTGAGGAGCAGCTTTGAGGAGCAGCAATATCCGACAATAACTAGTAAACCTATCACTCATTTGCCCGAGAAACCTGGATTAGCATTTATGTTTAGTCACCTGGTTCAGAAAATGAGTGTATTAATAAAGACGAACTTTCTTTAAAATCCTTTCTCTTGTGGACACCAAATAGCAATGATAAATGATAAGAAAAAATAAAATTAAAGGTAGAATAAAATGCAATGAACGATGAAGAAGCACTGTTCCATACTTATATTTCCCTTAATACCCAATACACTTTATTCCTCTGGGAAAAAAACACAACTATTTACTTAAGTTTTAATTAAATGTCAATACGCTGTCCGCTTTTATTTCCTTTGCTTGTATGTTATTGTACATACTTCCCTCACAAATTAGGTTTTCCTTTTCCTAAACGCCACTAACTTACTTATTACTTTGTTCAAAATTCCTTTCAATAATTTAGCCTTTTTCGCATTAGATTTATCGATTTCTTTAAAATGTCCAAACAGGAAGTTTTGTGTTCTTAGACAGGTTGCATAAACATCATTCCATGCTATATTAATGTTAGAATTATTAATCTAGCTTAAGTCGATCTTACTGGTTATCGTTAAAGGAACAGTCTCTTCTTTAGCAATATCAGTCGAATGACTGGCTTTATTGGACAAAAGAGTTCTGAACTTATCTGCACTTTTGTCAAGTTGAAGCAACATTTTTTGCATTAGGAAAAGGCGCATGTCAATTGAACCAGCATTTATTTGCATAACTCTCGATATCAGATATGCATACTTGCAAACCCTTCTTGCATTTACATTAAATACAAACTGGCCACCTCAAAAAATTTGGATAAAAGGAAAAGTTAATATCTTAAACTCATGTCAAAAAAAGCCTTTCTGTACCAAAAACTGTTTTACGAGATACTCTAATCCTTGAAGAGCTGAATAACTGCTCCTTTCAGTAGAAAGACTACGCTTACAACGGGAAAGCTAATCATACTTGGAAATATTTTAAACGAGTAATATGACCACTAGAATAAAAGTTTCGGTTACGACTTTCTTCCTTTCAATTCGAATTACACAAATTTACAATCTGGACTCTCTCCTTTCCGCTCCGTCTATATTGAGCACTTGCTGGTTGCTCTATCCTATCTATACCTTCAGGCAATTAACCATTAAAATATGCGCCTATATAGTCTATGGCGTACATCTTTAAACCACTAAATATAAAACCAGGTAATTCCATTTTTCATCTTTCTTTCTTTCTTTACTTTTTTTTCTGCCCAGTTTAGGAAATTATGGCTCAAAATTTTTGACAGTGCTGCTGATTTTTTGTTTATCCAACTGGTCCAATCTAGGGCGCTGTCCCTCAGTTTCAGCCTTAGAGCTTCGACAAGGACGAATAATGTGTCGTTGATTTTCCGAGTACTGTCTCGTTCTATAAGTCATCTACACACTACCTAACATAATAAGCTACAGCTGAGGATATCAATCTATCTCTAAAAAACAGTAACTTAAGTCGCATAACCGTCTACAGACTGATAAACCAGTGGTATTACTGACGTAGCTCCATGATTGCTGTTAATTCGGCAGAGACAACATAACAGCGAAGTAAGAAATAATCACTCCGGCGATCTGTCAAAAAATTAAAATAGTAATAAATTGCAAAATTAGCAGATTTTAACCAAAATTGTAATTCTTCGCGTAAATCAAGCTGCCTTTCGCGGAATAGACCTACCGTCAAAGACAAGGACTTGGTGATGACCACAAGACCACCAATTGAAAAACCCTGTGGGTCTCCCTGAAGATCAAGCATAAACATCACCAACTGAAAATAGATAAGAATCGATAAATATCAATTTTTGAATCCATAGGAAAAACTAAGTCACCATTTTTTATTATTATTATTGTTATTTAAACCGCCGCCTGGTTAGCTCATGTCGTAGGGAGCACCGGACTGCCGTATGGGAGTTCGAAGGCTCAAGCCTAAGGCCAAACGACTCAGTGTCCTAAAATGACTAAGGAGAATGTGCTGTCTTCGCTATGGTTAGTTATTTTAGTCTTCTCGAAGATGGACGAAAAACCGTAGGCCCCGTCTCCTGCATTTTATACGCACTGGTTAGAAGGGCATATTTAAGAACCCGTGCATTTCTCGCAAAGATTAGGGAACGCATCTCCTCGTATTGTGGTCTGGCCTTAATTCTGAAAATGGAGGCATCTCCAAAAAATTTCCTTCAAAAATTGTGAACTGCTCAATGCAGTCTGGCCAAGGTCCCCCGCAAAGTGTTGTAAAGCGCTATGAGCCGATCAATTTGGCGCTATAGAAATTCTTCATTATTATTATTGTAATTATTATTTCTATTATAATTATTTTAAAGATAATAGAAAGAGAAATAAAACATTTCAGTTCACCCTCTCTGGAGTAAAAGTGGATGACGAAATTTATAGGGAGAATTAATCGTTTTTAGACTGAGAAGAGGAGCTAGAAAACATAATAATACCGTGAAGAGATAGGGGGCCATGTTGAATCAGCCTGTCACCTGTATTTACAACTGCTTCTACTCCCAAACTTACTTTATCTAAATGGCAGCTAATAATTTGCTCTCTTGTAGATCGAAAAGCCTTCTACATGAGCACAACACATTGTGACACCAGCTTTAAAAAGATTTCTTAAATTTATTTTACAGCTTATTTTTCCTGGGCGGCTTTCATTGCGAATATTTATTTCAATTAAAATATATGAGGAGATTAATCTAAGTTAAGAAAAGGAAAAGTTTCTCTTAATCGCGCAAATATGCAATTACCTTTCCTTCGTCTTCTTTTGAAACAGGAACTGTTCGCAAAATCTTTTGAAAACTGTGAATCTGAAGCATATTGGAATAAAAATAACATTATCAAATATTGAAATTAAAGAAAAACAAATAAGAACTATACAAGACAATAACAAAGTCAACAGGCCCTACATTGTAATCAATTCAAAAGGTGGAAGCACTTTAAGTGGAAGATATGTTTTGCATTTAATAAGAGATGGATGTAAAAGAATAATAAAATTATCCTAGGAAAATAGGATCAAAAAAACAAATAATGATTCAAAATGTACACGTACCCCTTCGCTCACTTTGGATCCAAACAGCATGATAATTGTTAAAACACAAACTGACGCAATGAGCCAGAAAAAGTTATTTCCCATGAACAAATATTTCGTTTCCTCAGTTTTCCCAGGTGAATGAACAGCGAGGTACAAATTGAAGCAAATCAAAGGAATGTATAGAGACACCATTCCGAGAAGTAGAGGAGAAAACATGGCAGCGGCCAGTTCCACAACCTCGCACAGTTGGTGATGCTCCACCTTAAAAGAAGCTAGTTGCACTGTTGTTGAGTGCAATGACTGCTGTTTCATCCGCTTACTCAAATCATCAAACAGTTCCGCCAGTATGAGACACGTAATACAGAAAAGGAGTACTGGAAGCAACCACGAACCAACAGCTATTATCAGAAAGATGACGGAAACTATGGCAAAGACAGGTGACTCACTTAAAGGCTTAAAGTTGGCAAGATTCATATCAAGCTTTAGCTTTGTCATCAAAGATCCCACAGTAGCACTAGCAAATACAAGGAAAAACGCAATTATGCCATTTCTTGATTTGACTGTTACCTTTTCCAACGTAGCATGACTCTTATTGTCGATTAAACCACGAACGAAGTGCTGAAAACGTGATTTTCTTGTTCTTGTTACTGGTGACACAATCAGGGTAATTGTTGCATTCAGTGCTCCCATAAGACACCATAAGCAGAACATTAAAGAAACATAGATCCTCTCAGGGACAAAAAAGCAACTGAGAAAAGCCAAAAAGAAATTGAACCAAAGGCCAGTAGCTACCAGACCACAATACATGAGTGAAACATACGCTCTCCTCGACAAACGACCAGAATCATCTGTCAAAGATTTCAGAGTGTTATCCCCGTAGTATATTCCAAACAATTTCATCAGCTTGAGTATAGGCCTGAAGATGTCACTGATTGCCTTAAACAGATGTTCGTTCACATTTTTTGCCTCGGGAGGCGAACCAGTCAAGTTTGAAACTTCGTTCACGGTAGCTTGTTGCTCAGAATTGGAATAGGACATTCCGTTATCTAAAGGCACTGTACATTCGTTTGGAGATACTCTAGCTGGCATAATCATCAGAAGATTGATTCTCAAGTAGTTTACAAGGAAACTTGATTATTACCTTTAGTTCTCAGCTATGGTCTTTTAAATTTGTTTCCAGTGATGTCGCTCAATTTGAATTTGGGGAGATCCGTATTCATATTCAAATCGGAAAATACCCACTGTGATCAAAATGACATTTCTTTTTAATTAAAAAACAGTCTTAAATCAAACAAAAAAACTAATTACATTTCTAATCATGAGAAGGTGAGAGAAGCTAGACAAAAAACCACGCCTAGATGTTGGTAATTCATTGTCAAAATAATGGAGTTTGAGAAGCTACCAGTTGTTCAAGCTTGGAGTGAGACTCATAACTAATAATTTTAGCAGGCAAATAAATAATGTATTTTCTCTCCAAACATTTACTTAGCTTTTTTTCCCGTTTCGCTACCTTATTTCAAATTCAGATGAAGCAAGAGAAAATTTGTTTGAATATTAAGCGCGAGGCACAAAAAGAGTTAACGACAGATAGACGAAAACCCTTCAAGCAGTGTGAAGCAAAGTAGGGTTATCATAGTTCTAGTCTGTGTAACGTTGCTTTAAAACTTCAATACATTATCCTTTAACCTGTAAGACTGAAATTTCATGCTCGTCTAACGGTTTATAGTAACAACATTTTGATTATAACAAATAGACCGACAAACAAATGAAGCAATCAGGTTTATTGTGATCTCCTCGATCTTTTGGGATGCAATTAAGAAAGGGCATTAGCAGAAATTAACGAGGTGTGAAGCACTTGTTTGATGAGTTCTCAGGAAAATGATGAAGTTGATAATTAAAATTTCGTACCAACTCTGCATGGTATGACTCTTTATTTTTGTTTTTTGCTTTTTGTTTTTTGTTTCCTCTTTTTGCTCGGGTATGATTTTGAACTTTTACAATTTCGTAATTAATTTTCTATATTCATATCGATATTGTTTCCTCTCTTCTAGTATGTAAATGATTTACGCGATCAGTAGAGAGAAAGTAATCCTAAAGTGTGGTCATGACAATTAAATTTTGATTTTTTTTTTTTTTGCAGCCACAGTAACAGTGCCTAAACTCTTTTCGTGAAAAAATTCCCCTCCCAAGGCTTTAACTTAAAGGCTATTAGTAAAGTGAGTCAATTTTTGGACAAAGGACATCTTGACACTGAAAACATACTGGTTTGTAAACTTCATTTCCACGGAAAACGAGCCAAGAAAAAAATCAATAAGGAAAACCTGACATTATCTATGAATTTTTTTATGTCCCACTGTGATAGAATTGTTATTTGTATGACATAGTATCTCACAACCAAAACAATAAAATTATGAACTTAAAATCAAACTAAAAATTAAAATCCCATCACATTTCCCTAGTTTTTAATGAATTTTATTGATATTTTATTAGCTGTTTCAATCAAGATGGGTTTTTAGTTAGCAGGTTTACAATGTTAAACTAATGAAAACGTAATGATTATAATAATTCTCTCACGAAATGCCATCTATCAAGTAAGACTTACTTGGCCCCCTATGAAAAAAGTACTGATATCATTACTTTAGAGACACAGCTACTAATATCACGCAAAATAAAAACTTTTCATTACAGCGCCAAAATGCTAAATGTGTTGAAAATACTTTTTCTCTACTAACAGAAATACTATCTACATGGTGTTCACTAAACCTATCATGGGACATCTAAAATATTTACATCATTTGCTAAACAATGTAAGAGTTATTAAATTTGGAAGTATGTTCTTTTTTCTTTAGTCACAATTTCCTTCGGTTATTGGAAAAGTGCCTCTTCAGAAAAAATTATAACTTAAGGACGAGCTCCAAAATAGCAAGTACACTGGAGGTTATAGGTTCAACCAACATGGAACAAAACAATAATTAGATTTTACTTCAACATGATCAAAATTTTCAGTACTTGTGATTAATTTTCGATGGAAGTCTAAGAATCGACACATCTTTTAATGCATTTTGCATTTCTAAAGAACTAAACAGTGTCATATCTTTTAAACGTCAACGCGGTAAAGATAAGAGAACTGCAAAGTAGGACACTATTACCCCAGCAATCTGAAATGAGAAGTAGATTAGTACAGTAAAATTTTTTGCAGAATGTTTAGGCGTTCAGTTAAATTAAATCACAATTCAATCATAAGCTAATGGAAATTGGATATGATGAAGACAATGCATTAGCTTACCGCTAAGGATGTGGACTTGGTTATGACAAGCAGTCCTCCAATTGATAAACCCTTCGGTTCTCCTTGAAGGTCGAGTAAAAACAACAGTACCTGGAAAAGATGGGAGAGGAAGGATGAGAGTTTTGAAAAGGATTGGAAAGGCTGTACACAAGAGTGTTGCCTTTGTTTCGCGCAAGTATTTTGGAAAAAAAGCGTTAAAAAAATAGAAGTTACCTTAGCTTCCTCCGCTGTAGAGACGGGCATAGTTTGCAAAATGCTCTGAAAACTGTGAATCTGAAAGACAAATGTTAAATTATGAAATTTAAGTACATGCACAAGAGCATAATAAAAAAAACACAAAAAACGAAAGGTCTACACCCACCATCTCTATTAGGATAAAACTTCAAATCCAAAATGTTGCACAAATAGGATAATCAATAAAAGACATGTTTCCCCTGACAAACCTTTTCGTTGACTTTAGATCCAAAGAACAGGACAGTTGCTAAGATTCCTGCCGCAACAAAACACCAGGAAAGAGTGGTAGCAAGGGCCATTAACTTCATATCCTCTCGGAAAATGACGGAGTTGTAGAAACTGATGCACAACATTGGGATGTATAACGCCACAACCCCGAGAAGGAGTGAAGCGAGCATCTTGTCGGCAAGTTCGACCACCTCGCATAACCTGTGATGTTCCATTTTTAAAGATGTAAAGTTCGCTGAGAGCGGAGGTAGTGATGACATTCTCTTATAAAGCCCATCAAAACATTTTAGAAGGATTCTACAGGTTAGATAGAAGAAATACATCGAAAGTAACCAAACAGCACTCCCAGTAAATAAAGAGAACTGCGCAATCACTCGAAAGCCATACCACTCATTCCAAGGCTTACAACAAGCAAGGCCAAAGTTCAATTTCTGATCACTAACAATAGAAAACGTAACAGTTTCCACATAAAGTAAACAGAGAACTATGAAGCCTTTTCTCGACTTTTTCTTCACTGAATTTAAATTAATACCTCTGCTGTTTTCTAATAAGCTCAGAAGATATTGTTGGAATCGTGACTTTTTGCCAATAGCCAGAGGAAGAACAATCAATGAGGTTATTCCACAGATAACTATTAAAAGGTTGCCAAGAGTAAACATCAAAAACACGAATACTGCCCCTGAAGCAAAAATCCCGGAGACAGCCATAACGAAGTTTAAACATAAAAGGGATATCATCAGACCACAATACATTTTCGAGCATATATTCCTTCCTTGTCGACTGGTCGGCGTGCATTCCAAGTGTTTTAAATTAGTTTGTCCATAGTACGCTCCGAAAAGCTTCAACAACTTCAGCACAGGGCTGTATAATTCGTTTAATGACTTTAAAATCTGCTCGTTGCCAGTTGCGTCTTCAGGGATTGAAACGACGAACGATGATACACTCTTTTGACGAGAATGGAGGGACCCCGACATCTCCTTTGTTATTGATACTTGAGACAGCATATTTTTGTTATTTGAAGGAATTTCGGTCTAAAATGCGGTCCATTCCAAACTAAGATAACCACTGTTGCTTTCCAAAACGCATCAGAATACACAGCTAATGCAATGTCCCAACATGCCTTGAGCAAGCTGCAGTGTTTTCAATCGCATTATAGAAGAAACGGAAGAAATTATTGATCGACGCCCAGAATTGGAAAATTTGAAAGCAAAACAAGGAGGTTCAGTTCCCGAAATGGCGCCACCGAGGCTGAAGTTCACTTCAGCTGTGTATACGTAGTCACGGTTGAACCGGGCTAAATACGGCAGAAATTCTACACGAAAAAACGACTCATTATTGCCTAAATTCTCTTACTTGTTACTAGGGCCGCGTTAACCAAGTCGAAACGAACTGTTGACTCGACAATTCTAGAATAATTGGAAATGCGTTTGAATTCACTGCCCACTATTTCATTATAACTGGTTGCTCGCTTTATTGATAGTAGTTGGCCTTGTTTGTTTATAAAAATGATGTTAAAATTACTTCAGTCAGGCATGTTGCTTATTTGCATTTTTCTGGCGTGAATTTGTTCCTTTGAGACTAAGTCATGATGTACTCTGTATTTCTTCTCCAGGAATGTTTCGTGTCAGAACTTTTAACGTCATATCGAAAGGCATCGGCTTTTAACATAGAGGGGAAATAATTTTTTCTAATTATTTTCTTCTTCCTCCTAAAAGATATTTGGAAGTAAAGTGATCTATAATTTAATAGCTCTTGCTCTGAATATTAAACATCGGTGCCGTTTGCTCTTTGCACGTTTATTTACGCGTAACAAACAAAATTAAAGTGCGTAGCTCTCTTGTGTGTTGTTCAAAGGAAATTAATCCCAGCCTGTTAAGGGCTCATGTGTTTTCGGCGATATTTGACCAAATAATAGTTTCAGCGTAGAAGAGTTTTCGACAATGGGCAATATATTTCAGGCAGAATTGTTCCAGAAAAATTAATTTAATCAAATTTCCATATCGTTCTTGATTTAAACATTTCCCTACGAATATCGTACCGTTAGCTTCCGAAATGAGGAGGGAATTGTCATGATGCATGCGCGGTTAAGTGGCAATTCTTTAATGAACGATAGATAAATGTTTCGTTTTAAACGCGCTCGAACTCAGTATTTAATCAAGAGAAATATTGCGGTTGACACAAATGCGCATGACAGAACAACTACCACGAGAAAGATAGGGAACTGCCAAACTTTAAACAAAGTAAAACAAACTATGAAAAAGAATTGATATCAGCTTTTTGCAAAGACACAACAGTTCATTGCACAATGTCGTAACACACTTTGTTAAATGTATATCGTGCTTAGAAAGCAAAAAAACGAAAGGATAAAAAATAATGAATTGTAGTTAACTAAAGAAAAATACATCACATTTTCCCAGTTTTTGAGAGAATTTTATCGATTAAGACGTGAATTTTCTTAATCAACATGGTTTTTAAGCAACTTTTACAAATATCAATGTGAACTGATAAAAAAATTAAACACTAAACAATCTCTAAAGAAATTGTATCATTTGTTATAAGCCTAGTAATATTACTACCAAAAACCGGTTCTTATTATGGCGCCATAATATTACAAATTTTTACAATCCTTTGTCAGTACAACCTACAAAACTATTATCATGGCTTACAATAAACCTATCAAGGGCTATCTGAGCATAATTATAAGGATTTGCATCAGTCACTAAATAAGACTTATTATTAAATTTTTACATATTTCATTTCTATATCACAATATTTTCGTATAAATGAAAAGCATGCTCCAGAGCACAAGTCAGAACTTTACAACAACCTTTAAAATGGCAAGTCTACTGAAGGCTGCATTGCTACCAAAAAGGATAAAATGTCACAAGGCTTCTCCTTGACATCAATTTTTACCTCGAGAAAACCAACAATTTCAGTGATAGAGACTAGCCCTCGATTGAAATCTGAGAACCATCTAATTGACATAACTAAACGATGTTATATCTTTCAAACGTCAACGCGGCAAAGATAGAAGAACTGTGAAGTAGGAGACAATCATTCCAGCAATCTGAAATAGAACATTATCAGACAGTGAAATTTCGCAAAATGTGTAGGGGTTTCATTAAGTTCAAACTCAATTCAACCTTAAGCGAGAAGAAACTAAACAAGATGAAGATCACAGGTCTTACCGCCAAGGATGTGGACTTGGATATGACCAGCAATCCTCCAATTGATAAACCTTTCGGTTCTCCTTGAAGGTCGAGTAAAAATAGCAATACCTGGAAATGGTCAGAAAGGAAGAAGGCTTTAGGAATTACTAAAAGCGTGGGAAAGGCTTTCGATAAAATTTGTTGCCTTTGATTTGCGTGAAGCATTTTGCGAAACAGGAAATGGGGTTGGAATAAGGTAATAAATACATAGATAGAGAAAATAGGAGTTACCTTTGCTTCCTCTGCTGTCGAGACGGGAAGCGTTTGCAAAATCTTTTGAAAACTGTGAATCTAAAAAAAAGAATCTGAGGAATACTAAGTGTATATAAATAGGAACATAATAAATATACTACACCAACCGACGGTACAACAACAAAAATGCAAACTGGTAAATCAAAAACGTTTAAAAGGCAGATCGATCAATGAACTGATATGAAATTTCCCCGACACACCTTTTCGCTGACTTTAGATCCAAAGAACAGGACAATTGCTAAGACGCCTGCTGCAATAAAGCACCAGGAAATATTAGCAGCAAGGGCCATCAACTTCAAATCCTCTTGGAAAATGACAGAGTTGTAAAAACTGATGCACAGCATTGGGATGTATAACGCCACAACCCCGAGAAGGAGTGGAGCGAGCATCTTGTCGGCAAGTTCGACTACTTCGCATAACTTGTGATGTTCCATTTTCAAAGATGGAAAGTCCGCTGAGAGCGGAGATAATGATGACATTCTCTTATAAAGCCCATCGAAACATTCTACTAGGATTCTACAGGTTAGATAGAAGAAATACATCGAAAGCAACCACACTGCACTGCCAATAATTGTAGACAACTGCGCAATCACTCGAAAGCCAAACCACTCACTCCAAGGCTTACAACAAGTAAGGCCAAGGTCCAACTTTTGATCACCGATAACGGCAAACGTAACAATTGGTACATAAAGTAAACAGATAACTATGAAGCCTTTTCTCGACTTTTTCCTCACAAAATTAAAATTGATACCTTTGCTGTTTGTGATTAAGCTACGAAGATATTGTTCGAATCGACATCTTCTGGGAGTAGTTAAAGGAAGGAAAGCTAATGAGGTTATTCCACAGATAACTATCATAAGTTTTATAAGAGCAAACATCAAAAAGACAAATTCTGCCCCTGAGGTAAAAATCCCAGAGACAGCCATAACGCAGTCAAGGCATAAAAGGGAAATCATCAGACCACAATATATCTTCGAAAATATTTGTTTTCCACGCCGACTGGTTGGCCTGCATTCCAAATGTTTTAAATTAGTTTGTCCATAGTACGCCCCGAAAAGCTTCAACAACTTTAGCGCAGGGCTGTATATTTCGTTCAATCTCTTTAAAAACAGCTGGTTGCCATTTGCGTCGTCAGGGATTGAAACGACGAACGTATCTGCTTTGTTTTGGCGAGAATGGAGCGACTCAGACGCCATGTTTCTAGGTGATACTTGAGAGGACATATGCCTGTGATTTCAAGGGAGTTCCGTCCAAAATATAATGCAGTTTGTCTGGAGTTTTTGGTGGTGGATCCAATAACAATCCCCAGTGCGTCTACTATGTTCTGTTTGTTGAATAAAAGGTTGTTATTTCAAATGCATTAGTAAACACAGCCGAATGGGAAAGTGCAATTTTCGAGCACGCGCACAGCGGGCCGCAAACGACGAACAGCGGGCTGTTACTGCACCGATAAACAGTGATGAAGGCCAGTGATGACGCAGAATCGCGGAAAAACCGCTCTTTAACAGCGCTTACTTTGATAAATGAATTTACCTTTATTTATATTAAGCAATGAAAATGACGACATACTGTCCACAGGATAAGAAGGAAACGAAGAAGGATTAGTTTAAACAATGTAAAATTATACAGATATAAAAAAGCGAAGAAATTAAAATTAGCAATGATGACATGATGCAATTCCTGGAGATTGGCCACAAACAAACCAGTAATCAAACATTGATGACATTTTCTTTTATCCACATTAAATTACACGTTATTGAAGAACTTCAAATGCATAAAAATTTTTTTCTTGGGAAGTTAAAATAAATTTAATCCCAACTTGCTCAGTTTTAATGTGCTTTCTAGGATTTCTGAAAGGGAAAGCAACAAATTAAATTTCACACGCTGAGTTAAAATACAAACTACTGATTCTGTCAAGAGCCGAAAAGAGTTTTTGATCGAGAGAAATTTGTTGAAGGTGGATATTTTCGGGGAAGACATGATTTATAATTATTCTCGCTGCCAATACAAAAACTTTAATATACAAAGAAACAACATTTACTTAAGTCAATCTCCACGAGGGTTAGAAATACTAGTTTTGAAGGTTATGCTGTGCGATGACTTATATATACTTCAGCTGTAATATTTCTCACGTCTAATTAATTTCAATAACTACCTGTTCTTCCTATAGACCGGATTTTATGTGATGCTGGAACAAACTTTGAGTCTCTTTGTCTTAACTCGTCGGGATAGCTATTCCTCTTGAGATGAATGAAAATATAACGCAAGAGCACATTTCTCAAGGAGACATATGAATAATTATGGAAGAATGACAGCAGTAACCCAAAATTTTTCACATGCAAATTTTCAGAACATTTTCATTAACGACTTCTTTTGTGTGTGTTTCTAAACAGCTTGTTCTGGCAAAGAGCCTGTTTTGCAAAGTGCCTGTTCTGGCAAAGAGCCTGCTCTGACAAAGAGCTTGCTCTGGCATCTTCTTAAAACTCTTTGCCTGAAGCATATTCTTGACACAAAGATGACTCAAATCATTTACGAACAACAGAGCAGGGACACTGACAACTTTTTTCGGTGTATGTTATCGTTGTTGTATTCTTTTGGTCTGTTTGTTTGTGGTTTTTTTAATTTTCTACAATGTTTCTTTTTTTTTTGTTTTTGTATTTTTTTTCTTACTTGTGTTAAGTCTTCTTGGCTCTCTTTTCCGTTTTTTCTCCCCTCCTTTTTGTCTGTTAGTTTATATTATTTTGTTTTGGTTATTTTTTGTTCTTTCGTTTGTTTTGTTTTGTTTTGTTTTTGGTTTTGTTTCCTGTTTTCTTTCCTTTCGCACTAGTTCACCTCGTAACTTCGTTTTGCTTCTTGTGTGTGTTCATTTTTTGCTTTTTATATTTGTACACTCGCTTTTTTTTAGTGTTTTGGCTTTGTTGTTAAATGTTTATTTTCAATTAGTTGTTGTTTTGTTTTGTTTTATTTTGTCTTAAGAAACTAAAAACTGATGCGTTTACCAGTCAACGCACGAAAATAGTTCCATAAGGGTTTTTTACTCCTTCGATCTGATTAGCTTTAGAAGTTCCACATGGATCGTGGATGGGTGCCATGGAACCTGTACAGATATCGAAGAAATAAACCAAACTCCGTACATCCCTGTCAGCTCTCAGCTTTACACCACATTCGTTAATTCCAATTATAGCTGGCACAACATCAGCACATTTTTGAGTCCAACCGTTTATCATTCTGCAGGTAATATCTCCTTTAAGTCTTTCAACCAAACTACCTTCAGCCGGCATGCACGCAATCCAGTTATTGATGTTGGATTTGATAAGAAATTCACTTCCCAATAATTTCCAAAGACTGAAATTCATAGCTCCAAAATCTGTCTCACTTAGAGGCACCTTCGTCAAAGACGAGGTTTGCGACACGAAAGGCCAGTTGGGGATTGGAGTTACGGCATTGGTGTCACTCAGGAAATTGTTGTAATCAGTGAAAGTATAGCTGTAAACAAGAGTCCAGCCGCCGCCATCAGTTTCCATATCACAATACGCTTGGAAAGCATTTGGGTTATCCTCATCTGGGTTAATCCAGTAAACATCTGTTGGATAACTAGGTATTAGGCGCTTAACCTCCTTGCAAGATTTAACGACGGTAGTGTTTTTCATGCCTACAGCTGAAACAGGAGAATGCAGCATATGTTAGTGCGATTTTGTTTTATTTACTGACTGCTTGTTTGTGGCTTGGCGTTTGGTACATTGCTTCATAAGCATACTTTTCACATCCTAAAGTAAACTTTCATTCAATAGTTAGATCACTGTGTCTCTTAAAGGGATCGCATCTCAGGGCTTACTTAAAACTCTGTACATTAGCTAAGGTGCTGACGTAAAGAATTTTTTACCGATCAAGAGCTTCTTTATCTGGTGATCATTTCATTTATTATTATAACCTAAATGTGTGATTAAGCGGTAATATCGTAAGGGTAAATTGGATGAAAATCCTTCTTGGGGGTCAACGGGTTAAGAGATTTGCTGATGGGGGCTGATTGATCGATCGATCGATTGATGAGGTCTAACGCGATCACGCGTTCGATATTTGGTGATCTATCGATATACCGTTTAAATGATTGGGTATTTCATTATTTTTTTGTTTGTTTGTTTGAAAAAATTGTAACAAGTGTAATCAAACCTTCACAATTCTCTTGAGTTACTCCAGGCTTACAAAAGCATCTTTGTCTATTGGAACTGTCCCGTTGGCAAACAGCATATGAAGGGCAGAAAACATCACCACACATTTCCTGTCAAAACCACACGAGGAAAAGAGTTCGTCCTCTGTTCTTACTTTCTGTCTCACTGCGCTCTATTTTTATTTCTTAGTCTTAAGGACAGCTACGTTGAGCAAAAGCAGACTATACAATATAAAGCCCACTGAGATAAAATACAATGTTAGATTTCATTCCTGACAAACACAGTTCCAAACTTTACTCTTCCGCCCTCGTCCTCTATTCTCAAAATTGATTTGAAGAAATGATAATATTTACCTGAGCTGTTTGATACACGAACCCGTCTCGAGGTTGTAAATCGTCTGGGTGGGATGATGCATCTACGTCGTTCAGTTCACAAGTGAAGCCATGTACTCTGGCCAAGGAGGGACCATAGTTGTAAGAGAAGCAAGTCTTCTCCATGTAACATTTCAGCTGGCAATGCTCCTCGTCTTCAACTTTGAAATCCACAATCACGTGGTTTGAAAGTGCAACACCAGATTTAGCATTTGTAAATCGGAGACTTCTGCAAATATCTTGAAAAATGAAAGAATGCAATTATCATTGGAAAACTGATGCTTTAAGGGTAAGTTTCCCACAAATACTGCAGTCTGTGTGATGTTATCCCGTGGGAAAGCAAAAAATTGTAAAAATGAAAGAAAATGCAGAAAAGAAAAATGTAAATGAAGTTCACGTGACCAAGTGACAACACGAACAGTCGAGTTGCCACGACAACGTCAAAGGAATTCAATTCCTAATTAACATATTTGATGAGGATCTTTACTGTCACTAACTACAAGTGTATCTTAATTTGTTTCTTCTTAATTTCCCATTGAGGGATTTTAATTTGTCAAGGTTGATTGCTGGTCGTTGCAATTCGTGTGGCTATACACAAATGCCGTATATTTTAAAGAAACTTTTAGACTAAATAAGCCCTAAACTCCTTAAAGACGGACATGAGAGAGAACTGTCTCTGGACCTTTTACTTGGTTTGCCTTCAAACAAACAAATACCATAAAACAAACCAAAAATTTGCACAAACTCATTAAAATGAATATAAATCATAATTTTAGAAGTTCAAAATTTTCTCAAATACTTATAATTATTTGATGCAACAGTAGTTTCTAGGAGGCTATTTCGCCTATCGCATCGCCACTCAACTAGTGTTCTGATCACTTCTCTTACATTTGGACATCATCGCAAGAGCTACATAAGTGTATAAAGTGACATACCACTCACGAAACCATATTTTGGCAATAACCAAAGAAGTAGTGATACCAGAAAGACCTCTTTCAACGCCATCAGGAAAGAATTGTCGTTAAGAGTCTTAAGAGAAACTATATCATAGCTGTTACCATTAACCGGGTAGTGACACCTTTCATGGCAGAATTTTGACAATTTCTATTTCAGTGTTACAGCGAAGATGAAAGGAGTTTTGATGGGGCCAGAGTCATAATGAATGCTATAATTACATCATTAGTTACTATGGCTATTGGATAGCAATCAAAACTAAGCTATCAATAATTTATTACTTCTAGCGAAATTGCTCATTTGTATACGTATAGGACGTCCTTTCAATTGAATACTACTTAAAAACTCTCCTTTTTATTTATTTATTTTTTTTCGTTTGCGTTAATGATATGACTTTTGTTTGAACATCTGCTAGAACTTAGCCTCAATCCGCTTTGGAGTTGACTGCTGTTCTTCTCCCTATGAATTATCAATGTGACAACATTCAGTTGAGCTGTCAACTCAAAAACACCACACATAATGACGCACCCTTATACCGAATCCCTTTGAATCTCGTTCAATCTCATTTGGGCATATCTTAGAGCAATTTAATTTCTTTCACACAGCTCTTTCGACAATGAATTTCATCTCATAATCTTTTGTTTCTTTAATTTGAGAGATATAGTCCGGCTAAAACAAATTAAATCAGAAATATCAAAATCACGAAAAGCGTGTCAGCAGAAAGTTAAGGAATATCTCTCAGTGAATATCATCTTTATTCCCAAGTTTTAGGTGGGGAGTATTCGATCAGGCTTCGCGTTTCTCGAATTCAGGGGATACCTAGGGATTTCGTTTTTGTAGCATGAATTGGAGTATGCAAATTTGCTGATTCTCTCAAACCTTCCGCGGTATCTAAGCATGTATTGTCTTTCTTTTACCTTATCCAGACTTCAAATTTTCTAACTAGAAAACCGGACAAGCTCTTCGAAAAACACTGACATACCACCAAGGCCCAACGAAGACAAGAGTTCTAATCCCCAATTAGAAGTTTTAGCCCACCCGGCTGTCAATGGTATCTTTTACATCTGCGAATCCGCTTAATTGTTTGCAAAACTTCGCAATACGAGTATTTTCTTTTCTTTTTTGAGCAGATCCAGTGACAAGCAACTGACTGCTGATTTCACCCCTCTTGGTAAGGCTTCGTTGGAAAAAATTCTGTATACCTTTTCTTGGGCACGATGGTAGGAAAATCGGTTATGGTCGATGGATTCCGTTGGAGAGTCGTTCCATCGGTCATGAAACTTAGCAGTTTTTCAGTGAATTTTCTGAGTTCTCACTTTAGATGAATTAACAAAAACGATTCATTGAGGCATTAGCAGGTAGAGAAATGTTGCTTAGAGCTTGTGAGACTCCAAGAACCGTTCATGGGTCTCTTAGTCGACAACTTTAAATATTTCCAGTGAAGTCTTTTATCTATCATACCAAGAAATTAACAACAAAGTGAGGATTATTTTGACTTTCAGACAAAATTATTTGATAGTAGTAATCAGAAGGATTATGAATGTATGCTCAAACCCCATAAAGAGCTTTTCCTCCATAACTTAGGAAAAAAACTGGCTCCCCGTTGATAAAGAGTTTTCTGTGCGTCCATCGATAAGCTTATAATACCTCTGACTTATAAAATTACAAAGTTGATCAATATTGCCTATATATTCCTCTAAAGGATATGTCATTATTAGACTAGTTTCAGTCAAGATTAATCATCGGTCTTTTTCAATGCACATTTTGACATTACCGTAGGAGTAACAGCTTATGTATAATTCCGGCAAATCCGTAAAGATAAATATCACGCCGGCTGTCATGTCTGATCTGCTAATGGGTAATATTCATACCTGGGCCACCAAATAAGAATGCTGTCCGTCAGAAAAATATCTTTAGTTTCTAAATCATTGAATTTGTCCTATGAGATTCTCCGTTTTACAACCATCTTTATGTTTTACTGAGGAAATTTTGGACTCTGCCTCAATTTTTAACGTTCGTAAACCGCTGTGAAAGACTCTTTTAACAATTAAAACTCCCCAGCGATGCTGTTCGTCATTCCAATGTAGAAACGGCGGTTGTTAAAAATAATTCTTCAGTCCAAGAGTTAAAATTCTGTGTCTTCGATAACAAGAACCTTAAACGTGCTATTGTCGATCGTATACTCCTCTACCGTTAATTCTTCTTGTTTGTGAAGAATTTGCAACAAAACGTTGACCATTTCGAATTTCGATGTAGTTCGCCTCAGTCCGGCTTCCGCCAAAGCCTTTTTCTCCTTGAGTTTTTGTTCCTCTTCACTGTCCAGGTAATTTGTTTTGCTCTTTCTCAGGGCACACTCTGTTTCTTGAAGGATTTTATCCAGATTTGTTTGGACTCTTGATATAGCATCGTGTTGGGCCTTTGAATTTTCCATAGCAACCTTCAGGATTAACTGTTACTCAATTGAACGAGATCTAATTGCTGTAATTGTTTGGTAATCGAGTCCTCGTCGTTGAAAGATGTCTCTTTTCTCCTTTTTTCCCAACGTCTTTGTCTACTGTTCTGTATCGGGCTAGATTCGTTCCACGAGAGAACAAAGATTCACTTGAAGAATAATTCTACCCTTGCTGCTTGCATAAGCGACTTTCACGGAAATTTTATCTACGATCGCCATGTAATCACATCATTATAATGATCATATACTACACCCTTGAATATTTTTAGGTCTTAAAAAGTTTTCTCCGATCAATCAGCATTCCACGAGTGACAGCTAAGGGTTGAAGGGAATTTTTTGCCGACCACACCAGGCTGTAGATTAGAAGCCGCAATTTAACCAAACTGGCTACAGAGCTTTCGAAATACCGCAAGCGCGAACAATGCAATGAAGCTGTGTTAACTCGCAACGCTTCGAGATGAATGCAAATTTTTTTTTTCGCTTATCGGCAAATATGAAAAAGCTTATCAGACAAGGGAAATATATTTAAGGGATAGAAATATGAAAGAGATAAGCCTTATTGTTATTGCATTTATTCTAAAAATACCCAAATAAATGACTTTAACCGGATTAAGGTGTACGCGTCTTATAGGTATCAAATTTAGAATTTCTTTTCTGTGTCTAAATTTGATTCATACGAAATCGTGTTTGTTTCAAAACATGTACGTGTCGCAGCCGGGCAAACTCAAAGTAGCTGACCCAATATGAGTCCTTTTCCTTGCTGGATTATGATGATAAGAATCTAAATGCAAATATCACTTTGCGCCTCATTATAGGGGGGTAAGGGGAGGGAGGAAAGGTTAAAAGTGAAATAAACAGACCGGCCATGCAGTCGGACACGTCTTACGATGTTTCAAGGGAGGGGTGGAGGTATACTTCTCCGTATAAAAAGTTCAAGAAAGTACTTTGCAGAAGTAATGAAGACGATGATCAAGGAACACCGTGCGTTGTTTGTGGTTTGTTCTTGATCTTTTGTGTTGAAGATGGCATTTGTCGATCGAAAACGGAGTCAGGATTTAAAAAAAAATTGGTGTTGCACCCCTATCAAGAATCTGAAAAATTCTCCCTCTCCCGAGGAGCTCTGTTCTTTGTGCCGGGAAAGAATAATGAAACGATTTCAAAAGAAAGAAGGAAAGAAAAACCTTGACACTAAAAGTCGTACACGGAGATCGCACAGCAGAGCATTCTAACACTGGGACCCTTATCCAAAATTTGAATTCCCAACCATTCTTGAAATCACTAATTTTAAACTGAACAGGAAATTTAAGTTTCATGCATACCCACCCTTAATCTTGGTGGTTTCAGGAAGTTTCATCTGATCAGGCATTTCATTCGGGAAACTTTGGCTCTAAATTTAAAGTTTACAGAAGGACGTTTGTATGTTTAAGACAGTTGGGGGGGGGGGGGGGGGGCGAGAGGGGTGCACTGTATAGATATATTGAACGCCCCTCCCACTAAATTAACAAGAGGGAAAAAAAAAAAAAAAGGAGAAGATGTCTAAGAATTTCGAAGAGGTTAGAAGGAGTTTAACTATGACGGATGTGATGTTATTGACGTCAAATATCGCCCATCTACCCGATTAAGGATTACGGTTCACGGTGGGAATCCCTGACAAGAATAAATCTCTTGCGTAAAGCCCTTGATTTTGAACTCAATCCACTTTAATGTTTGCTAGGTTTTATTTACTGAATCCCTACTCTACGACATATTTTTTCTTCCTCGTTCGTTGTGAAAGGTAAATAATATTACTATAGTTCCCTAGTGAAAGAGCGAGTGCTCGGCCTTCTTCCAGAAAGTATGTTTTCGCTCAATGATATAACATCCTTCGATTCTCGGTAATGTTTTGTAGAAGACCTACTGGCAATTGCAATTTCAGACATTCCGCCTTCGTCTTATTATGTCTGGCTATTTTACCATTTCACTCTTTCAGATCTTATTGCTTATTCTTCTAACTGTCTACCACATAATTCTCAGGATGTTAGTTAGAAGAATTTAATAGTAAATAATAATCCCTATTTGGCATGCATATTAACGAAATCTCATTGTGTTATTTTTCATTATGACAGTGCAAGGCATCGGTTAAACATAACTATTTACAAGAGAATATAAATCTCTTGCTATCTATCAAATCCTAAAAACGTCTCCATTGGAACTGAGTGCCGTCACATTCAGCCAGAAGAGAATTATTCAGCTATTATTTAAAATAACAAGAGATTATGACCTTTTCTCTTCTCTGTTAAATTTTCTTGAAAATGGACATCATTAAGTTAAGATTTGCTTCTCCATTTCTGGTTAATCCATTATTAAAACCTTTTCACAATGAGCGGGAGCAAGTTATCCCATACTCTCAAAACATCTTTTTCGACGTTAGCACGATATACACTTTAATTATAGCTCTGGTCTGTTTCTGGCTGGTCCAAGAAGAAATTTGTATTCACGCGCATCTTAAGAAAAACGAGCATTAATGGCAACTCATAATGTTTAGGGCTTCCTGCAGGAGTTTGGGCCAATCACACCGGTCGTGGCAAATGAGAGTTCCGTTTTAAAATAACTGATCTGTTCAGTCAGTTCTTATGAATCTGACTCAACTCAAGTCGACTGGGGCGAGTCAGCTGACGAAAGGCAGTTTACGGTACATCGCGTGAAGGACTGAAACGAAAAACAGGTCACGCTTTACGTCATGTCATATCGCAATGATAACACAACTTTTAAGATCCACCATATGGATTTTTAGATTGCTTTAAGGACCCTTAAGCCTTTGGAAAGTTTATCAAAAGTGACCGATAAGTCTCCAAGTCTCTGGATAGGATGACTTGCATCTTTGAAATACCGTATTAAGCATAACGTTTGATAACAGACAAATTTCAGTTTGGAACCAAGGGTTGCCGCAAACTTTTCAATCAAGGTCTCAACGTTTTTTATTTAACCGAGTTTTCTCGTCGGAGAAAGGCTTGCGTTGGGGAGATATCTTTACTCAAGAGGGAATGCTGACACGAGCAGCACCTTTTAACTTTTTCTCAAAAATCGTTTTGGAAAATATTAAAGAGAATCGAGCTGTGGAAACGAGATGCACAAGTTATCATATAATTGAAACTCACCATTATCTTATAGGCTTAATCTGTTAAGCATAGGTTCTTTAACAGATTGATGCAAAAAGTTTCGTCTCTTCCCGCACACACACGCACAAACAAATACGAGAATGAGCTACATTTCTTACTAATGACAGCTTAAACAGAGCTTGTTTGAGAAGGTCAAAGTTGAAACATAAACCATCTGTAGCGTGTACATTCGCATACCACAGTCAAAATCCACTCGACCTTGTATTTTCCTTGACTTAAGCGCTGCCGTATGTTTTGTTTCCTGAAGCAACACCGTTGTGTTGTAGATGACAGGTTCACTTGAATTAAAGAAACGTTTTACCACATTTACATGGAGTAGATATGTAACAATTGAAGGTTACAGTTTTTTCGGGGGGGGTCTTTTTTTTTGACTGATGATAACCAGAAGTGGCGTGACAAAGTGGTTACATCAGTATATTTCCAGAGAGTATTAATGCGAGAAAAATTCAGGGTTCCATTTGATATCAATCACTCAGTCTGCAGGGTTAAAAGGCCTTATGATACTCTTCTTATTGTAAACCGCAAACAACTATCATTTCTTGTCTGCAAACTTTATCCTCCCCCATTTCTTTTGTTATCAATGTCGCCGATATCGGTGCAATGTCCTAATTTCAAATCGCCATTGTTGTCCTGAACGTATATACAACTATGCCGTAAATTCCTTATTGCAAGATGATGTCCCAATTCTCCGCATGTCATAGTTCCGTGTCCTCCAGAACGTGAACCTTAAATGTATATCCGTTCATGGTATACTCCTTAACAGTTTGGACTTCTTGAACTTGTAATATCTGCACTAATAAATGGGCTACTTTGTCAATTTTTGCCTTGTTGTGTCGCGGAGCGTGTTCGTTGTACAGTTCTGTCAATTCGTTGAATCTTGAGCTGGATAATTTGGCAAATTGCTGTTCCCTGCTTTGTCTTGAAGAGCCGATCTTTGATAATCGCAGAAAGAAAGCCGCATTTTCTAAGCTGGTCTTTAAGTTCGAAGAGGGCATCCTTGCCGATTACATATAAAAAAAAAACAGACCTTCTGTTTCTCAGAATTGACGGTGAAAACGTCCTTGTCCTTGAGATTTTGCTCTGCTTGAATCGTTCACTCTAGTCGTTTGCTTCGACGTCTTTCCTTTGCCAAATTTGAAAGCTATGCGTGCATTTTTTTCTGTCTCTGTCTCTGTCCACTCATCTCGTGCAGATCATCATACGTTGCATCTTGACAGAGCTGAAGATTTGATCTTGACCCCTGTCAAAGAAAAGGAGCTTTTTAGGTTTTACCAAAATAGATTCCCTCAAGATTTGTTTTTCTCGAGATTGCTATCACTACATGACATCGATAATTGCTTTGTAACACAGCCGGAAAATTCCGAAATACCATTGAAACGTACCTTCTTGTTTGCAAATGTCGACGACCTGTTTTCAGAATAGGCACCTTAATTGTAAGAGTATACGAGTAGTTGCGTGAGAGCTTGTAACAAGATTCTGTGGCTTACCACCAATGAATAGAGCTTGTTTAGGAAAACAAAACAATTGGAAATTAGCACTGGCGGACTTCAAAGTTCAATGATATCATTATCCAAGCAGAACCCTTCATTAAAAGTCCAGCTGGAAGTTCATGTTTGACTTTGTTTGTTCCGTTACCCTTGACATCTAATATCAGGATACACGTAGGCCACCTTAGAAAGTCTGTCTTCCGCGAATATAAGATTACTACAGCAAATGCGTTCACGGAAACATCCAATAAAGGAACAGAAAAAAATGATTGGAATTTATTAATTGATCGCGAATCATTGTGTATAGTAATAATAAGCTAAACATTAATCAGTACAAGCATTACCAAAACATACCTCGAGGCATTGAAGCAATCAGTGCTGCTGTGAATTTGGAGCAAACACAAGCTAGGTTTTTATAGTTTTGAACAATTCAAAGGCAAACGAAAATCCCTAAGTTTTTGGCAAAAGTATAAACGTCATACATAAACGATAGCACTGACCGACTTAAAAACTATATTAGTCAACTTGTTTACCTGAGTTAGAATGCAGAAATTCGCTAAATATAGTTTTGAATTAGGCGGGTAATTATCTTTATACAGAAAGAAATACAATAGGCAGGGTTCAAACGTAATAGAAATTTTGGGAAAAGGCGGTTGTTTACGATGCACAACTTTCCTACTTGCAAAGAGATATGAAAAAAATGTTCTCTTTTCTTTTCTCTTTCGATAGGGTAAAATCAAGACATGTTGAATTTTTTGTAGTTGGGTGGACTAAAGCGATGGATCGTTAAGGGACATAGAAAATAAAAACCACATGTTTGGGTCAAAGGTTTCCATGGCGCAAACGCATTCGATGCGTTTTTGCATGTATGTACGCATGTTCGCTCGTTTTCCGGTTTGTTGTTGTTGTTGTTGTTAATTTTTTTAATTGACATAGTTAAGAATGTACCTTTAAAAATTCCTTTTCGTGGAATTAATTGCTTATAATTTCCAAAAGAGGTCTCCCTCTTTTAGTTTAGACTAAAACTCTATTTTCTCAGTCTCGCGATCAACGGTTCTGTTTAGTCACACAACTCTCGACATTTTCTGAAGTGTTGTTCTGACGAAGCTCCATCGTACAACTAATGGTATTTCTAAGGATTTTTTTTTCTTTTTTTGTAAGAAAAGAAAGCTAGACAAAAGTAGCCAAACTGCCAGAAAAAACGCTTTTTCTCTTCTGCGATTTTCGTTGGTTAGTCTTACCTGGAGGCAAGACTCGCATAAATATACTCGACCCAGGCCCTTAACTACGTACTGTCCAAAAATACGCGATATCAAAGGATTTAATTACTCTCCCTTGAGACGCGCGAAAATACTTCGGTGGCATGCTATTCTTAGGATGGATTTGTGACGTGTTAAGGCCTTCCGCTGTAAACATTCGACTTATCTTGCCCGTCACTCCCTTGCACAAGAACCGTCAATTTTAACACGTACGGTCGAATACCTATGAAACGGCAGTGAAATGGCAGCTCTATCGGTGCAAGTCAAAACCAATCTGGTAAGCTTGATGTCGTAATAATTCCTTTTAGATATTGACTTTTCTGTATCAGAGACTGTGAGCTTTAACCAGCTAGATTATTCCCAAACTAGCAATAGCAATTTGGTTTAAACAATTTACTTGTAGGATTGTCAAAAATAGTGCTCTGACTAAGAAATAACATCACAGATATCGATAAAAGTCTACTTAAAATGTCAATTATTAATGTCCTTCTCTTGCTCTGTGACATTGCACAGCGACTTTGTCATGATAAACTCTAAAACGTTTAGGGACGTGACCTCGGCTCAATAAATAATTAGAGGACTGGATGTCCTGTCACATAAATTAGCTTTCCTTTGAATTACCCGCCTGTTTAGCTGTTTTCGGTGTCCTTTCGTTTCCCCTCTTTCCGTCAATTTGCATATTTACTTCGTATCCTTGAGTGTTCAGTCGATTGTCGGCAAAGCGTGACCTGTGTGACATCCTATCTCAACTTGGCATCACATGTCAACGCTGTCTTGCTTCACACCGCATTTTTAAATGCGGAAAAGCTATAACAATTATTCTTGAGTAACTCTACTTTCTGTAGTGCAAGTGCCGGGATACTATTTAGGAAATATTACTCTCCCAGACTACACCCCTTGTCTAGTGAGTAACACAACAAAAATAACCATCAAGCAGAACATTTTAAAATTTCAAAGGAAAGTTGCAATCGTGGACAAGTGTCCTCGAAGTTTTTCATCGTTATTGTACTACTTTTTGATTTAACTCACTTCCTACTCATTACAACAATTCGCATGAATGCAGGAACAAAGGGAAATATTTTTGAACCGAGGATAAAGTAAAACAGCGGCATACGTTATTTAAAAATAGAGGTTACAACATACTTTACTAATAAGTACTTTTAAGAACGAATAAGTTCGATCCATCAAGGTTTCTTTTTCTTTCTTTTTCTTTTTTTTTTCTTTTTTTTTCGCAAACTAATGCACATTGCAGTCTTTAAGTTCTGAAACTAATCCTCTCAATGCCACGGGCCACTTCTCTGTGACAAGATCGAGTATGGCAGCCCGGCTAACATTTTTAAAACAGCGCAAGCAATCGATTAATTAAGAGATAATCACTTTACTACTCTATTTATTTTATTAGAGGCATATAATCTATATTAAGAGAACTCATTGCATCAGAGATCGAGGGAAAGTGCTGGAAATTTCGCAGATTCAAAGAATCATTTTTGAAGACTACAAAATACCGTTAGGGAATTTTAAAAAAAGTGAGTGTGATTTCCGCTACAATTTTACTGTTTTCACATATGTTGATCGCTGCAACCTGAAATTTCTTTTTCTCGATCAATTTTAGCTCCGTTAGCATTTGTACTTTAGGTTCTATAGGGAATGTGCTGGGCTCGTATCTTTTTGTGTCCTCATCGGCTTTTAGAGGACCTATTTGCATATGACGTCACAATTGTCACGGATTTCTTTGATGCTGCTCTGCATTGCAAATATATTTTCTAGAGCATCGTACAAATTATCATTCGCGAAGCGACGCTGTAGTTACAAGCGTTAGATCAAAGGAGCACGTCACTTTGTCAAAGAAGTACCGAACTCGATCAGTCCAGTTGAAGAAAATGGTGAGTTAAAGATGATCAAATGCTTTCCTTGTAGCATTCAGGTGTTCTTGTGAAGTGAAATTATATTTCAATAACATTTCGTACATTAAAACGAGACACAAACAGCAATCATTTCGAAACGCAGCCCATCGAATTCTTGCAGCAAAATTTAAGAATTATATTAATCTTTCCCTGTTTCAAAAAAAGGCGACACAAAGCTGACTTAATCGAGAGCATTTCACAAAAAGTTAACGCTTCTTTCGTGAAAATTTTGCCTCCTACATCTTTATGTGCTTCAGTGGTTGCTGCAGAATTTTTATCCACCATTGGAGTAATATGCAGCTAGAAGCAGCAGATGAAAAGACAGTTAACGGCGTAAATTTTGCTTCTGAAAATATATAACTAGAAGCAAATGGTTTTGAATCTTTAGAGTCCTACAATTTAAATTTCCTTTAAATTCGTGAATGAAAGTTCGCCAGAATCTTCGAGAGGAAAGGGCGTTCAGACGCTTGTAAACAATCAGAAAAATCCCTTGAATATTTACCAATATTAGCTTTAATTATTTTTGTTTCTACTTGTTTCATTAATTAATCTTAAGCAAATTGCAGGACGAATCCGCAAAAATAGTTAAATTTGTACAATTTAGATGGATAAAGTTTGTTTAGCGAAGTGAGTTTGTCCACTAACTACACAAAATATTTGCATAAGTCGGCATCGTTCGTCACGCAACAGTGCTTTTCAATGCAGTTAAAATTGGTTTTTCAAAACAGAACCCCGAAAAAAACTCCTATATATATTCTATTCACGCCTCGTCGATTCGCACCTCATATTTTCTGCTTATCACTTCAAGATGAAGAAACTTCGAGACAACTTCAATACTGCTTGCAGTTTATGCAAAATTTACAAACACACCCATTGCGGTTAAAAAGTCTTGTTCAATCAGGCATTTATTTCTCTGCTGAATGATTTCGGCTTTCCAATATTTAAAAAACAAAACAAAATTTCCACTTGATAGCACATGAGTCGTGCAAAACAAGGCGGGGCAAGAGTGTACGACTCTGACAAATCGATGTCGCATTCTTAAAAGCCATTCACATAGTAGAATCAAATAGACTGTCGGGTAATGACGAATATTAGCAAAGTGGCACTTTCCATTCTGGCCTCGCCGACATTAAAATATATAATGTGGATGTATTTACATCTACCTAAAATCCAAAATGCGGAAAGGCAGGGAATACTTCTGCAGTTATTTTTGTACTTTTAATAATACTAATGATATTAATAATAATGCTATAATAATAATAATTTTAATAATGATAATGATAATAATACCTATTAACCTGTAAATATTGAATATAAGTTACTGTTATAATACTTTAAGTGGAGATTCTAATGCTTAGAGCAGTAATAGAAGAAAATCAAATTATTGAAATAAGTAAAATGTTCCTGAATACTTGACTTCATTGATTTTCATGCACACTTAAGGTATTCATAAAATCATTAACTATTACTCAAGTGTTTCCTTACACTGCGGCAAAACGTGCTATAGTCATTGATGTTAATTCCTCATGGATGTTGGGATTTCATTAAATCTGCAGTTGAAAATCTGAAAAACTATTTATAAAGTTTGTACGGTGACAGCAATTAAATCCATTGTTTAATAAAATGGGATTTTTATTACTTTAACGCCTAAAAACGTTTTTTTGTATTGAAATAGTCGTCAAAGTATGAATTTTGAAAGTAACTGGTGTTTCCTTTTGTATCATCTCTCAGGCCAAGTTTAGCGAGAGGGAAAAGAAACGTAAGTAAAGTAAAAAACATGTTTTAGACAGTGTAAGCGCAAACTGCAAAGTTACTTTTACAGTCATTTCTATCGCAAAACAGTAATTTAAATTCACTTTCTTTAGATAACACTTCTTGGCTTATCTGTTCAACAAAAAAAGTTTTATTTGACTCATTTTGTGTATTTTTTCAATCACAACCAGATTTCCGTGAGGCCTTTGAACTCTTTGATCACGATGGCAGCGGTTTCATCACCACTGACGAGATTGGAGTTGTCATGAGGAGACTGGGACAGAATCCGTCCCCATCGGAATTGGAAGACTTGATCAGGGATGTGGATGCCGATAGTAAGTGAAAATTTTGATACTCTAGCTCTGTCTAACACATTTGCAAAACCAGTGACATGATACAGAAATAAAGACAAAAGAACAGTCATGTAAAAAAAGAACATATTTCCATTTTCAACGCTCAAAGCTTACCATCTTTATTAATCCGTTCAGTCTCGACGCTGTCGATATGGCTGATCCTAGCATTACTAATACCCTAATTCATCCGTCATAGTTTTTAGAAAGTGTGTTTAAATATATAAATATTTGATTTGATTTCTTTCAAAGAAACTCCTGTCGGCTGAAACCCTTTTCTATTGTTCTTGATTTTCCTCGAGAGGGCATGTTCCTCAAATCGCTTCTCAGCGGACTCAGAAATGTTCTGGAATTACTTATTGAAATTCAGGAACTGTGATTGTGACCAGTAAACTTGCATTTTAAAAGATTAACCTACCTAGTTCCTATTTATGAATTCATTATCAACCAATCAATGTATAACTTAACGAGTCTTCTCATTCATTATTATAGACAGTGGCCACATTGACTTCAACGAGTTTCTAGTCATGATGTCTCAGACAAAAGAGAAAGGCCAGCAGGCGGAATTGCGCCAGGCCTTCAGGCTCTTTGATGCAGACGATGATGGTTTCATCACGTTCGAGGATCTGAAGAGAGTTATGCGTGTCACTGGAGAAAGTTTGTCGGAAAAAGAATTGAAAGACATGTTCACAAAGGCAGATATTAACAAGGATAGCCTTGTTGATATGAAAGGTAAAGTTTGCAATTTCTGAAAAAGGTATACACAGATAGGGTTCAGAAATAGGAAGGTAGTATTTGGTCACTTTAGCTTGTGAACAGGCCGTCATTATAAGCGTAGCAGGCTGCACGTTTCACCGCCTGTGGGAAGGTTTGAGTCGAGTCGGGAAGAGGTTTTGCCGGAAGTCTGGAACTAAGGAGTAAGTGCTAGACCCCTCGCAGACCTGTCAACTGTTTGCGTTGCTTTAAGTCTCATAATTTCCCGCGGGCTGAGAAATGTTCATGCTGAAGCGCCAATAATGGGGGTCTCCTCTCAGGCTAAGGCCAGTTAGGCGGTATTGTCTCTCGTGTATCTTACAACCTTACCATGCTAATTTTGCTATCTCGCTCAACGCCAGAACGATAGAGTAAGGCGTAGATCACCAGAAATAAATGTATATCATTTCCTTTATCGAGACCACTTCTGTAACTGTATGCTTCATGTATCTGTAGATGAGCCCTCCTCGACGTTTGAGCTTCGATCAGGCCAGCTATACATGGTGCGTAACGCATTCCAAATCACTTCCCCCTTGCGCGAGATCGATATAGCGAAGCACAACAACGTCGTTGCTTAGCAATGTTTTTCATCATAGTTTTTATTTATTTTCATTTTATTATTTTTCCTATCTTTCTGCAGAGTTCACCAGGATTGTGAGCAACGAATAAATGGACTTCTGTGCCATAAATTTGAATAAGCCAGTGAATGATTTGCAGTTTTTGTCTTGCCAAACTGCCGAGTTCAAATATTGCTAAGGTTTAACATTCGTTTGAATGCATACGCACCTTTTGTTTTGTAATCAATCAGGCTTTGCCTGTTTAGAAAGCCGGGGTTAGATGAAATATTATAAAGGCTTGATGTTAGCGATGTTAAAAATAAAATACTGCTTTGTGTTCCCATTCTGGTTTCTTTTATCTTAAATAGATTAATCGGACTTGTATGTTCAGTCCTAGTGGCGGTTCGATGCTTAAGTTAATGACCCCTAACTCCCAATCGAGATGGATATTTGAATTCTCCTTACAATTTCGATACATTGTTCTCCTCTCCCTTCTTCGCTCTATTTTAAGATATCAAGGTGGTAATTAAGTGTGCGACAGGCGCACAGTGGAAGATGGGAAGAGCTTCTCCGTCGCCTTGGTAGTTCTAGTCCTAGTCTCCCGATCGAAGCCCCAGAGAGGTCTGAGGACGAGACAAATTATCCATCAAATACATGATGCACAAGAATTTAAAAAAAACAAAGAAAAAAAAAAAAGAAAGTGATGAAACTTATTAGCGAAAGAGTGTTGTCTTGGCAAAACAGAAAATTTTCCGAGCTGGTTTTTCGAGGAAAAGAAAAAATTTAAGGGAGAGTTACTCGTCAGATAGCGAGCTAGTAAAAATTGAGATAACACTTTGACTGATTACTACTTACGTGAATGGCAGCTGCGTTTCCTAAGCAGACTAGCTGAGAAGTCTTGAATCTGCATTATTCCACGTAATTTTTTTAGTAGGAAAACCTTACACCGAATTTGTAAAGAAAATTAAATGTGTTTTACAGACACAATGCCCAACACGAAAATTTAAAGAACATATTTTTTCTTAGTTTGACTTACATTCTGTCAAAACAACATTAATTATTCAACATGATATTGTTGAGTTACAAAAAAAAAAAAAAAAAGGAAAAAGAACGAAAAAAAGAAATTGATGTAAGCGAAAGAGTATTGTCTTTGCAAAACAGCAGATTATCCGAGCTGGCTTTTCGAGAAAAGGAAAAAAATTAAGTTTTATAATTATCCAAGCATGCATGCAGTGAAAAATTTGGCAAACCTATGAATGCAATAGACGTGTATCAGTAAATTTCCGGAATTTCATTGCAACTTGAAACATGTTCGAGACAACCAGAATGGTCCCTTCTGTCGACGTTTCTAGAACCGCAAATTACCGTAAAAAAGATATGGATAGAAAGAAAAGAACAACGATTTTTTCAAGAGATCATTGCACCGTAATGATGACTTAGAAAATTTTGGCAGCGAACCATCTAACTAAGCATGCAAATAAACTTTTTGTCATATGGACGTGTGCTCATTAATATATTTATAATGTCTGTTTTTGTGATTATCAATAAGACAGATATCAGCTCGATTTCCATTTTGACACCTGCACCCAACAGTTACTGACCACAATCTGTTGTACGGAACCTACCTCTTCCCGGACAATTTTATTGCAACATAATGGTGAGTTGCTGAATTGTAACATGCCGAGTTAGATTTATTATTTAGTGCACAATTGTGGAGGCCAGACAAGAGGAATATTTTTGGCGTGAGCATTACGTTCCTCCTTGCGTTTTGTAACTGATATGGCTGGCGGCTAGCACTATAGAATTTTTTCAGAGCTACTTCCATAAACGTTGAGGGTCTCTAAGAACTTTTTTTTTCTCTTTCACTGACGCGAAACGAAGACAACACCATTTTCCCCTTCACGTTTAGAATTGAGTAACAGAAGTGCTGTGTTAGCGGAAATGGACGCGTGATGAAAACCTTACTGCTTTGCAGCAGAATGAAAATAATGTCATTTTTTTCTAAAGAATCTGTTGCCGTGTTTCAAACTTTACATGGGTCGTTTTTAAAGGATTAAGACATCCTTAAAATCTGCATTTCTCGTTTTATGTATGTTTAAATATGATTTTATGTTAACTTGAGACGGACGATGTTTTTTAGTGTTAAAGTGGATACTCGTTTGATTGATAAGTTGTTTTCAATAACGTCAAATAGCCCCTTTCGCTATATGCTTTAATTAGAAAGATTCTCGAAAAGCGCCGCTCTCAACCATATTTTCATACTTTGACTTTATATTAAAGACGCAAATTAACGCTTTTTGCCTCTGACAACTATTACAACAATTCTGCTAAACACTCACTTTAAATTATTTAGCAACAATCATCAAGCCGTCTTAGGAAAAAAATTATGCGATGTTTATCAATTATAATTGTTGCTGTGGCTGTATTGTCTCATTGTATGTCCGTGACACAAAGAGAACTTTATAAGATGTTCTGGGCATCAGTTTAACTTTAAAAAGCGTGAAATTAAACAAAAAAATCGATCTCAAAGGACAATTCCATCACATGTAACTTGTAACTTACAGTCCCTCGTTTTACATGTCCACACTTATAACAACACTAGCTGTGAAACGTAAATTTAGTTGGATTATTCAGCCACAATATTTTGGCTCTGCCTTATCTCCAGGTTGTGACACTAATTGCGAGTTTGTTAGAAATTTTAACCGGTTATCTCATCAGCGAGTCACGTTATCTGTTTATCGAAATAGTAACCATGCTGTTAGCCGGCTGTTGGTAAAATACTGTAATTAGCATGCGATCACAATGAAAATTTTAGAACTCTTTTTCCAGCCACAGGGCGAATTCGAATCCAATGGCCCATACAGCAGGAGTCCAATGAAATGAATTATTTAGTTCATTTGTTTTAATCCCTCTTTGTTCTTCTGTTTGATTTGTTGTTGTTGTTGTTGTTTTTATTGTGGTTTGTTAAATTTTCTTTTCTTTTCTCATTTTTCCCCTTCTTTTCATTCGTTATTTTTCGCGACGCAGAAGAGAGAATATCTTTTATTTTTTTTTTATAAATCAACTCAGTCTTTATTTTTCATTTTGCCATGAAACTCTATGGTTGTAAGGGAGACGAAAGCTGAACTTCACAGAATTTGTTTCCATAGAAGTGTAAACAAACGTTTTGATTTTTCTCTGGTAGGCTGAAAATTTTACCGAGGAGGAGGTCCAAGGTAAGTTCGCCAAGTGTTCATTCACGATCCATTCATCTATCCATCCATCCATTCATGTATCAATATGTCTGCATGTATCCACCAGTCTGTCCGGCCGTCTAAAAGTATGTCTGTACATCCATCTGTCTGCATGTCTACCTGTCTGTCTTTCAACTTATCTTTTTGCCTATTTAAATAAATTCATTTTTTTGTTTGACTAGAGTATAAAGAAGCATTTCAGCTGTTTGATAAAGATGGCGGTGGTACCATTAGCATCAAGGAATTGAAGCAAGTGTTCGATGCGTTGGGTCAACATCCTTCTGAAGAAGAAGTGCAGAATATGATCTCGGAGGTCGATGAGGATGGTGAGGTTAAGTGACGTACATATATTACCGAGAGGATTGGGGAGAGGGTTGGGAGTTGATTCAGTTGACACTTACAATCACGCGACTGTGGAGCGCTTTTCCTTAGTACTTGGCTCATATGAAAGTTATCCGGAACATGACAGTTTTGTCTTCGATGTGAAGCGTAACTCTTTTGATTTAGTCTAGATTTAGTCGATTAGGGTTTAATCGGCAGGATCAATTTCTAGTTGAGAGTCCAAAGTAATCTATGATTGCTTTGGTTTTGCTTAGGTTTTGTGATTAGTATTCAAAACACTTCACGCTTTTAACCAATCGGGTTTTGCTTTACTAGACCCTTTAATTGGTTAAGAAAATAGTTGCCTTTTATCCATTTCGTTTTCTTTCTTTCTTTTTTACTTTTTTGTTCTTAACGTACCATTGTTTTTTGTTTTTTTCACTGCGTTCGTTTGCCCAGACAAAATTCATCGAAGCGTGCTCTAAATTGCGACGGGCACGCTAAAGAATCAAATACATTTCAAGAATGGTTGCCTAGTAACAATGTATAGTTGAAGTAGAACTTAATTATATGCTATGTACTTGTACATTTGTCTAAGTATTCCTTTCTATCCTCCAGGAAGTGGCGAAATAGATTTTGAAGAGTTTCTAAAATTAATGGCAGCCAAGCAAGCAAACATGACAATGGAAGATGAACTAAGAGGTGCATTCAGTGTCTTTGATAGAGATGGAAGTGGATACATCTCATCACAGGAGCTTAAACAGGTCAGCGAAGAGCCAGCCTCTTTCTATCCATGAGTTACCGGAAATTGTATTTTCTTTACTTTCTTTTCAGCCATCAACAGAAAAAAAAAACTTTTGCAGCAGGAGATTATCATAGTTTACAATTTATTGTCAACAATTAATCTAGTCACTTGCTGAGTCATCTCCTCTGACTCAGCAAATGACAAGGGAAACTAGTGTACGTACGCCTTCTCGTACGTTGCTATTGAATACGTCAGTCCAATCAATTTTTCTTTTCTAATTCTATTAGTTCTAATTCCTCTGGCTTAGTGTTACTTATATTAGCCTGACTGTTTTTAAGGATATCCTGTTAGACCGAATTACATCAATAGGTTGGGTTACTCTCGCAGCATTCATTTGCACATCTTCAAAACGATTTTTAGGTCTTAGAGAATCTCGGCGAGTCACTGACTTATGAGGAGGTTGACGAGATGATGAAGGAAGCCGACCTGGACTGCGACGGACAAGTCAGCTTTGACGGTAAGAAGGACTTCCTTTAGACAGGAGCGTACGGTGAAAATATCAACTATTAAGCAGTCATGTCTGTCGGTCATGCGCAAATCATTTTAGCTTGGTTTACCATTGGTTACACAAATACGTGAGTATTGTGTACTGCAAATGTGTTTGAATTATGTCAACTCTACTCTTATGAGCTCACTCACTGAAATCGAACTCAGAAATACATTTCAAGCTCCAGTCTAAAGTTAAAACCAACACCCAAAAGTCCGGCGTTAAAATGGCCAATCAGAATTAGCCAAAATATTTCAAGAAGGTAACGCAAACTCGATCAATAATCAAGCAAACCACAAGAAACGCGGGAAAACGTACGTGACCCAGATGCCGATGGGTTTCAGTTTTGCATCTGATTGGTTAAGAGACATGGTGGCGTGAGTTTTCTCGAACCAATCACATAGCGAAATAAAACATATTCGATGCAATCATCGATTACTCGCGACCCTCATTTGATATTTACCCAAGGTTCTCTATCTTGGCACAATCAAATTTGGGAGAAACTCAGAATTGCTGCTGCAAAGTACCACCTTAAAAGAAAAGAAATGAGTCTCATTAGGTACGCTCTGCAGGTCGTTAAATCCAAGGTCTTTCTTATCTTGAGGTAATTGACTGCTTAACTGTAGGTTATTTTAACTTAGCTTTAAGGCAAAGCGTTTAATTTGTTACGTTGTTTCTTTTCATTTCAGAGTTTGTGAAGATGATGAGCAATGTCAACAAATAGAAACAGATGATAAATTCTTTTCTTGTCAAATTTCTAATGTTTGCCTCATATATATATATGTGTGTGTGTGTCTTTTGTTTGGGTGTTCTCGTTTGTGTTTTCACGTGTATGTGTGTATGCAGGGGGGTGGAGCGGAAGGAGGTGCTTTTACCCTCTCTTCTTGTCTTCTAATTAATGGCTGGTCACAGTGCACTGCAGCTGTTATACTCTCTTCTACAGATAATTATGGTTTAAGACAATAAAGAACAATTTGCCCAATGTAGTTCTGTAAAAAGGATGAAAACTTAGTCGATAGTTGTTAAAAATTTAGACGCCTTTCGTGAGACATGTTGTCCTCGCTTCTGACTTGGGCGGTGACCTCCCGAAGGAAAGCACATTATACGAAACCTTCGATTTCAACATCGAAGATAAGTCGAGATACGGTGCGTTAGACACGATTGTTGATTCATGCCTTTTAATATCTGTCTGGATATTCAGAAATTGGACTTTTCCGGAGAATTCTTTGAGCGAACTTGAAAATTACAAGTTTTTGTACGAGCTCTTCATTGTACACTTTTAGCAGTGCCAGGAATAAAAAAATTACCTCAAGGAGTTTACTCGAGGATGTCAATATCTTTTCCACATGTGGAGGACTTTCTCAGAAGAAGGGTTTCACAATTTTGCAAATGAGGGGCTTGGGTCCGATGGATCATTTTCAAATTATAACAATCCTCACTTTGAAAATGAGGCAAATTGCAAAACATATCTTGTGGAACTAGATATAAACAAAAAAAATCATTTTAAAATCAAAGGCTTTACAAATTCCCTTTAGAAGCTTTCAAACAGAGGTTTGATTGCACCCCTTCAGAAATGGCCCATTGCCAAAGAATGGACAAAAACTTTTTGTCTGACAGCAACATTTGACATATAGATTATTCATTCATTGGAAGGTCAAAATAAAGTTAAATCTCATAAACATAACCGAGAATAATCTGATATGGAAATATACAGCCAACAGTTGTGCTGTTTCTGATTACAAAAAAGGAATAAAATGTCTGGTCATGGAAGTTAGCTCAAGTGCCCTCAATTACAACAACAAAACAAGTCACTTGAGTTAATGAGGTGTATGTGTTTCCAGAGATAAAATGAGTTTTACAAAGCCTCAAGGAATATAATTTTTTGTGAAATAGAAAGAATTTGCACATAATTTCTCATCTTGGTGAAACATTAGTGTCACTGAAATCCACTGAAAAATTGAATGTGTGCCAGTGTACTTGAACAAACATAGAACCCACAGAAAGCAACCTTATGCCTGAGGCTCTCACTGAAAACCACCTTTGTTAATTGGGTTCCCTCATTCAATATCATTATTACTGTATTAAGTTCACAACTCCTTTTCAATAAGGTGTGTAATATTTATTGTGACAAAAGCAGTTTGGAATAAATAACCATGATAATGACATTTTTCTTCACCCTGGTAACACAAGTGAATAAACAGGAGTTTTTAACTGGACTGAAAAAAAGGAGAATTTGTGCATTTTTTTTTGTTTTTGTTTTTGTTTTTGTTGTTCTTGTAAGTTTCTTTTCCCCTCTTGAAGGAACTTGTGTTTGTGAATCTTTTGAATAATCAAATACCCATAAAAAACCTACAAATTTTTTTCAGTGCTATGGTGTAATATTGCTTACTCACTTTAACACCAAGTTCTAAGGACCACTTTTTAAATAAATTTTCCTGGTCAGTAATATTATGGGATAAAAATTCTTAAATAATTTAATGGAATAAAACTTACAGCTCACAGTGATAATAAATTAAATCACAATTAAATGTCCTCCCAATGCAGTAAAGAAGCAAAAATGTAATGTAGCTGATACAGATAGTTGCTTGACTGACCAAACACTTCCAGACAATTGTTTAATCCATTTTCTTTCATTGCTTTTAGGAAAAAACAATGAAGAATGGTCAAAACTTTACTTGCTTGTCATCATCTTAACAAACTCTGTAGACACGAAAAATGAGAAAAGAGTATTAAAAGCAAAGAACACTTTCATAAATATTTCATTGGAACCATTAAATTTAAATAAAAAAATAAATGTATTACAATAATAATGATAAACACATCATTTATTTATAAAAGGTGGGTGTATGGGTGGCTGTTAGGGGGGAGGGAGTGAGTTATTTAAATGACAATTCAGTCTTCATCATAAGGTTCTATTTAAAAAGTGAAAAACCATGACCTTCATAATTGACTTGTCCATCTCCATCAATGTCTGCTTCTCGAATCATCTCATCAACTTCTTCATCTGTAAGTTTTTCTCCCAAGTTTGTCATCACATGTCGCAACTCAGAGGCACTGATAAAACCATTGCCATCTTTATCAAACACTCGGAAAGCCTCTCTGATTTCCTCTTCACTGTCAGTTTCTCTCATCTTCTTGGCCATCATGGTAAGAAATTCTGGAAAGTCAATTGTTCCATTACCTGAAAAAATGCAGTCATATTTGTGAAATTCTTTGGTGAATAACTTTAACTGCAATAGTACTGAGAGAAACATAACAAAATAACTTAGGAAAGTTAGTCTTCTTTAATCTTTTCACTAGAATCATAATATATCAGAATTTGAAAGGTTGCCATAGGAAAAACTGTCTGAACCAGTAACAAGTATATTGAACATACTTGTTACTGGCTTAACATGATGTACCTTTGTTGAATTCTTTAGATCTCCTAAGCAAGATGTAGCAATGTAAACATCATACCTACACTGTGTTTATCTAGTAGCAATTCAAAACTGATTAGAAAGCATATAATATACAATTTTATTTTTGATATTTATTTATTTTCTGTTTTTTTCCTTCTCTGAGAAATTAGCTATACAACTACTCTTGTAAATCCAAGGTGAAATAAAGGTGATGTGTGTGATCTGGTAAACAAAACAGTACTGGCCCAAATAGGTTTACATATGCAAATTCTTAGTTAACCTTTTAAAAAGTTGGAATTTGTTCTTCTTATTATTTGTAATCAAGAGATCCAATGTCAAACAATTTTTAGGAATACTCTTACCATCTGCATCTACTTCATTAATCATATCCTGAAGTTCTGCTTCAGTTGGGTTTTGTCCCAGAGATCTCATCACTGTTCCAAGTTCCTTGGTGGTGATTGTGCCATCTCCATCCTTATCAAAGAGCGAGAAAGCCTCTTTGAATTCTGTTTTTTTAAGAATGAAGAAGGAAACAGTTGAAAATGTTGTGAATAACAAGCTGAAGCTTATTGTTTAAAAAAAAATCCCTTCCCCTCCCTCAAAGGGTTTTCTTGGCCAAATATCTCAGCCCCTCCACACCCCCTACACCCTCCCCTAGAATTTACTCAAGACCAAAGCTCCATCTTATCTAGATCATAAATATTTTATGTAAATAGTGCTTTTAAATCTGCAAAAAAATTCAAAATAAAAGACAGTCAAGTTTAATACCTGCAATTTGTTCCTCTGAGAGTTGATCAGCCTTGAAAGGAGAAAGTTAAAACAAAGAAAACACTCTCACTAAGTCAGAAATGTTGAACATGCCATTAACTTTTATTTTAACCAAACTGAATGAGATTAAAATCACTGATCTGAAACATTATGCAAGGATAAAAGGATTACAGATGTGGGAAAAATCCAACACCAAATTATTCAGACATTATGTGTGATTTTTCACTCCCTCAACTACATGATTTGGATTAATTTTTCATGGCTGTGAGATCAAGTCAAATATCACATCTGTGAGAAACTGTGAATTCAAATAAACCTCCATGATGCTTGTCTAGGATTGGTCAATAATAGATTGACTTATTGCATTTCATCTCATTTGCCTAATCTCTCGTGTTTTGGTTATCGATATTGTAATAGGCTCGCCTGAAGAAATTTATATGAACCGCAAACTCGCCAAAACTGAAAATGTGTTTTTAAATAGATGGAAAAAAAAAAGTTAAGATAGCTTCCAAATATGTTTAGGTTTGTTCACTTGTCGACAAATAACAATGCAACTTTATTGCTTTCCAAAGATGAAAAATTCATTGGTGTAAAATGAGATAAAAAAGCCATCGTAATTATGCGGAGGAAAGAATCAATATGAAGAGAGAATTGAATTAGCTGAATCGACGTGTTTCGCGTACAATGCAATAACAGAAGATTTCCTTTAATTTTCTTTTTTTTGAATGATGACTTGAAGATGTCATTTTCCAAAAACTAAGAGCGCTTGATAAAGAAGGGAGAATAAAAATTTTGTATCATATTCATAAGGATATACTCACTTTAGCATTAAAATAATACATCACTTTAACAACAATTATAGATCATCGAAATATTCTGTATATTCTACTTGCAATCATAACTTAAGCTTCTTTAAATGCGGCGAGACTAACTAAGGTTCTTAAAGCCACTATCAGTCGGCTAGAAAAAGGTTTCAATCTGACATCCACGGCGCCGAAGAGACGACAAACAATGCTTTCAGTACACGAAAAACATCTGGTTACGTGCCGGAAAAGTCTGACCTGTGTGTTTTTTTTTTGTTTTTTTTTTATTAGCTTACTTTGATCGTGTACTAAAATAGTAATAATACTAAAAGAGCGTTCGCTTGATTTTCTCTGGAATAAAGCAAGGACACGAATAATTTCATATGGAATATTCCTACCATTTTTTGTAAAGTTCCGCTGTCAAATGTTTGATTCCCCAAATTAAATTCTCAAGAAAAGGAAAACCCTAATTTTTGTACATCCCAATTAGTGACATAAGGATCCCTATTCGCTTTTTTGAAACAATAGATATCCTTATTAGGTTAAACATTACCAAAAGTGCGTCGGGTTGCGGATAGTGCGGCTGTTTCTTTGTTTGTTTCCTTTTATCTATCTGTATTTCCTTTTTTATCTTTGAATTAAATTTGCAATTTTCCTGAAACACCAGCCAGATGTTTTTGTTTAAAATTCAATTTTTTTATTCGCGTTTATTCAATTTCTTCTAAACATAAATGAGTTTGCTATTACGTTACCGAATTGCTGAACGAAATGTTCGCGTGACTCTTTGCCACAGTCACGTGTACCCTGCGTCTAATCGTGAGAATCAAAGAGACCAAGAACTCGCTATCAAAGGATAGATCATGAACTTTAGAACTTGAATGCAAAAAAGCCAAGATTTCCATTTTCCTTCATTTTAAAACCGAGTGAGCCTCAGATCGCATAGCATCCAACGACACTAGCCTCCTGTTTCTTGATCAGTATCGATTTTAGATTTCATGACAGCGGGTCGGTAATTCAACACGTGACCACCCGGAGGGTAACCATACCGTATTACCTTATTTCTCCAGGACTTTTATCAGTTTATTTCATAAAAATTGTCTCAGTATTAATTTATTTGACTTCTCGTACTTTCTAGTCTCCATCATTGCTGATTTATTGTCATGTTGATTAAAAAAGGATTCTCTGGGCAGACGTTGTCAAATTCTAAGAAAAAGAGAGAAGCTTTATTTGTTAAAGTTCATATCTCAGCTTTTTTTAGGGAGAAGGAAAAAAAAAAATTTAAGATTCCCTTTATTTAAAGAAAATTAAAGTTTGCGTGACAAAAGAAATTTACATCCCGCAGTCGACGCAGTCCCGGAGCGCACGATCCAAATTTGGAGTGACAGGTTAACCAATCAAAGACTGTTACGCCTATAACGAGCCTTTCCGAATCCCGATAAAATACTTTATAATTCAAGAAGTTTAATTACATCGACGTTTGAAGTTTCTTAGAAAGCCTGAGTACTTTTGGAAAATCAACTGAAACCTTAGAAATATGGTAAGATTCAACTATTCACGTAACATTTTATCAATCATACTCATTTAGGTAGCACTGATCATTTGCTAAAGTGGAAGATGAAGTTAACTTGCCTTCTGTACATTATAAATATTTAATATTGGTTCGCTTTTGATTTTCGAATTGGATGCCATATTTTTTGAACTTTTTGATCTTTGGGCACGTCTAGAGTTCGGGTATTGTAATAGCCTATCTAGCGTTGAAGCAAATTGAGACGGATTGATTACTTGCAAGAAGAAAACTCAGCGAGTTTCGTTTTAGAGGTGATTCCATGCGTGACCGATCATGCCTTCGAATTCGAAATAATTTGACAAGTGTGCGTGCTGAATTTACCCACGCGTAGTTCAGTGAAACAAAACTGTTTGTAACACGGTTACCTTGATTTGTTTAATAGTTTTTGTGGGGAATTTTTTAAGATATTCTGTACAAGTTTATTTCATTTCCGAACATGCTAATGGCGCACGTAGTGTGAAAACTTGCACATTTTGTTGCTATCGCAACCCATATTGATTTCCTGCTGGCTAGAAGGGATTGATGAAGGGGCGTCGAGTTGAAAACATAGGGGGAATTGTGAAAGAGTTACTGAAATTGAGGGGAAAAGGTAATAATTTTGACTATGACATGGATTTTATACATGAGCCACTGTATGAGATGTAAGGGCAACTACAAGCCACATCATGACATTACTAAATTGATTGATTGATTGATTGGTTGACAACTAATCTAATTAGAAGAAAACTTCACAAATGGAAAAAAAAATGTATGTTTGCATTCTCAAAACATAGATGTAAATGGTAACTATTAATAATGCAGGGCCCTTGTTGTAACAGAAGGGATGGAGAGTAGTTTTCAAGCCTCTGGATTTACTTTACATATTTCAATTGAAAATGTCTTATGCTGTGCATTCACTTCAAAATGTTGTCTAATATAGCTGGCTAACAAAAATTCCCCTAATTAGTATTCCTTGGTTTATAGACCTTGTGAATAAAAATTGTTCGTTCCAAGAGATCCATTTTATAATGTTTCTCTATTTTCTTCCTCTTTTAACATTCTGTGGTAATAATTTCAGGCTGATCAACTGACAGAAGAACAGATTGCTGGTAAGTTATTTGATTCCTTGAAGTAATAATTGCAATAAAACAAAGAAAAAAATAACTTACAGGTATGTAGATAATAGCCGGAAGCCGGGAAAATTACCCGGCTGTGAACGCGATTTTTCAATCACATTATTCGCATTGCTTTGTCCATTTTGCAGGCTTTTTGCCCTTGATTTTGCCCCAAAAATTAAGGAAAATGCATCTCCGAGAGTATGCATTTTCAAAATTTCCCGGGGAGGGCATGGCCCCAGACCACCCCTAGGTATAGCATGCCAAAGGCATGCTAGAGTGGGCCTTTGGCCCAATTACCCGCCTATCATTGTTAGATTCCCGCCTGTTAAAGACTTAAGCTACATCCCTGAACTTAGACAAAATCAAGCCGTTTTTGACATGATGAAATAAGTTTCACATATTTTCCTTGCTTTTATTTTACTCTTAATCCTTAAACTACCATGAGTGACCAAAACAGAATTTCTCCTTAGAATATCAATACAATACCAGGCAGACAAGTGATGGCAATAGAGAAAAACATCAATTAG